CCAGGCTTTGCACAGAGGAAAACTAATCCCCTCCCCCCATACTTCCTCCCTCCCTCCCTCCATTTCTCCCTCCCTCCCTTCCTCCCTCTCTCTTTCCTCTCTGTCACTCTGTCTTATACATAGTGCTAGACATACCAACAGTACGCAGAAATACAGTGACTCCCACCCCCACCCCATGTGGCCATATGGCTACTGTGCTGGCTAGTTTTTATGTCACCCTTACAAAAACTTGAGTTATATTGGAAGAAGGAACCTCTTTTGAGAAAATGCCCCCACCAGATCAGACTGTGGGCAAGCCTGTGGTGTGTTTTCTTTCTTTTTTTTTTTTTGTTTGTTTTTTGGTTTTGGTTTTGTTTTTTTTTTTCATTTATTTATTTATTTATTTCTCAAAGTTTATTAAAATACAGAAGTCTCCATTTCCGCCCCTCCTCCCAACTCCCTCCCACTCCTTCCACTCCCTCCCCTCCTCCCTCTCCATCCCCAAGATCAGTCAGGGTCTCCCGCCCTGTGGGTAGTTCAAGCTCCTCCCCCCTCCCTCCAGGTCCAGGAAGGTGAGCATCCAAACAGACTGGATCCCAGAAATCTAGTATATGCAGAGGAAACAAGTCCCAGTGTCATTGTCAATGGCTTTTCAGAAAGACTCCTGGCCAGCCACATTCAGAGAATCCGGCCTCATTCAGAGAATCTGGCTGGATCACGTGCTCGCTCAGTCCCAGTCAACTGGCCTTGGTGAACTCTCATTAGATCAGTCCCCTTGTATCAGTGGGTGATCGCACCCCTCGCGGTCCTGATTTCCTTTTTCATGTTCTTCTTCCTGCTCCTCATTTGGACCTTGGGGGACTCCATCCGGTGCTCCAATGTGGGTCTCCGTCTGTATCACCATCCATCATCGGATGCTTGATTGATGATAGATGTGAGAAGGGTCAGCTCACGGCGAGTGGTGCCACCCCAAGCCGGGTGGTCCTTGATGCTATAGGAAAGCAGGCTGAGCAAACTGCGAGGAGCCAGCCTGTAAGCAGCTCTCTTTCATGGCCTTTGCATCAGCTCCTGCTTCTGGGTTCCTGTCTCAAGTTCCTGTTGTGACCTCCCTCAGTGATAAACTATTGCCCGGAATTGGAGCTGTGAGCACACCCTCCCACACTGCTTTCGGTCTTTCTGTTTTAGCACAGCAACATACACCCTAAGACAGTCACCCACCAGGCTCTCTCAGTCAGTGATCCCTATGTTGAAGACCGGCCTCAACAAAATCACCCCTTACCAGTATAAGGGTGTGGGAATTATAGAAATATAACTAAATATAGAAATATAACTAAAGAATATGCAGATGCATAAAAATAAAACATAAGACAGTATTGGGAGGGTATTTCAGGAATCATTCAGACCCCAAAACCCGCCTGCGTTTATTTTTCCACACCTTTTATACCCAACATAAACTGGGGGAGAAGGTAACAAAAGGCTCCATTAACATAATACAGCAAGGCTAACTCACACAGTTCCTCTGAGACTTCCTATCATCAGCATTCTGTTGCCTAGGTAGCGAGATGCCCCAAGTCACATATGCTGAATGCCTACCTTGAAGACCACCCTTCCCCAGGTGACCTCATAGTTAAAAAAGAAAGGAGCACATTTGCATATATGCACATTTGCACACATACACATCTGCATATCCTGACCACCTGTCAGGAGGGCACTGAGCTATCTTAACCTCAGAAAGGGGCCAGGCAGCCACCTCCTGAGTTAGGGGGTGCAATTATGCCTGCTAGGCTCCCAAACTCTGACCCTCAGACACTGGTGAATGGGCCTGCATTTCTCAGCCTCCACATCCCTGTTTGCCTTTTCTTATCCTCTTGATTCTCTTGTTTTGAATCATGACCAGGAATACGTACTCCTATCCCCTACATATTTTTAGACTGTATTTATGACAAATAAGAACTTTTAAAATGTTTAGTACCGCACCATCATCACACATGGAAAACGGAGTGCCAGATACACTGCTGCTGCCATTTCTCTCTTGCTTGTCTCACTCGACTGTTTTCTGTCTCTGAATCAAGAGCCAATTGAGCCAATAGCAATTGCTCAATCTTTAAAAAGAGATCTCTGGCTGACTTGTAGACTCCCATCCCCCTTTTCATTCTGTTACTTGTTTATAAAGGAAGTTGGGATTATTCTTATTTTGGTCCGTGGAGTTGTTTTCAACTTGCTATCAGGATTCGCTAATAAGATAGTTTAGCAGGAGCCGCCACCCCTGTGGCTCTCATTAGTCAGTACCCAGGTCCAGAGGTTTGATCAGACTCAGGTTTGATGTTTTTGGCAAGATTTCACAGATGGCCTGTTGCACATCAGGAGGCACCTGGTGGGTTTTTTTTTTCTGTGATGTTCACACCTTTTGATGTCCAAAGCCCCATCAATTAATACATGAAGGGCTGCAAATTGGTGCTAAGGCAGTTCTGTCAGTTGATTCTTCTGTCTTTATTAGCTGGACTGTTTCTCTGTAGAGGGAATTCTCTCCTCTGCAGCCCATCTGCAGAGCTCATATACCCAGTGTGAATGGAAATGCTGGTGTCCCTCATGGAACGTTGTCACTAAATGTCCCCACAGAGAGTCCTCCTTAGACTTGCTTGATTATTTTTAAAGAATGCTCGAACTCACAACTGTAAATGCATTTTGTGTTTTCGTTTATCTTTTTGGGCCTCAACTTGTTTTAGCTTAATCCCCAAAGAACGTAGCTATGCCAAGTTGACCCTGAGTCCTTTGATACAAGCCTAGCTGTCTTTGGTTTGCCATGTTTGTGCATGTTAACTAAGATGACTTTTGAACATGCACATCATGCGTGAGCTGCCCTTCTTATCACTGTGACCAACCAAAACAATGCCGAAGGAAAAATGATATTCTTTTCCAGGCTCACTATTTGGGAGATACAATTCATCATGGCTGTTTATGCAGGGCTGTGGGGTTCATTCACAGCTGAAGCAGCAGGAACAGGAGATACCTGCATGTGCTTTGCTGGCAACTAGGGACTGTAGTTTAGGTGGGAATCAATCCCAGGCTATAACCCTTGGATTCTTACAGCAGCTACCCTCTTCCTCCAGGTAGGCTCCACCTCATTATCAAATCTTGCCCAGATAGCATCATCATCTCAGGACCAATTGTTGAGACATGTGCACTCCTGGGACCACCTCACACTCAAACCATAACAGAGTACCCAGCTTTACAAAAAGATGCTTAGAAAGAACTAGGAAGGAAATGATTATGCAGTCCCCTTCTGCGGCCCTTTGTTGCAAGGAGGGTCCGGTTGTTTGTCCCGGCTGCTCAGCCCCGAAATGGCCACACAGAAATTGTATTAATTAAATCACTGTTTTGCCCATTAGCTCTAAACTTATTATTGGCTAACTCTTACATCTTAATTTAACCAATTTCTATTCATCTGTGTATCACTACGAGGTCATGGCCAACAGCAAAGTTTCAGCATGTCGGACTCTGGTGGCGGATCCATGGTGTCCCTCTGACTCTTCTCCTTTCCCATCCTTCCATTTGTTTTCCCCACCTAGCTCTGTTCCCCTATAACTCTACTATAGGCCCAAGGTAGTTCCTTTATTAACCAATGAAAGCAACTCATAGATAGAAGGGCCTCCTACACTAGCCCTTAAAATATTTTAATTGATTTTCTAAAAAAGTAATGTTTGTAAACATTATATTTTGATCATATTCATCTCCTACTCTTCCCTCTTACTCCTCCCAGATACATCTCTAAGTCTATCTCAAATCCATCTCCTCTTTTTAAAAATAATTTTTATAGTCTACTGAGTCCAGTTGTGCTGCCCAATTACTCAGGTGTAGGACTCTCCATTAGAGTGTAATTGATCTCCCATGAGTCACACCCTTGAAAAATATTGACTTTACCTCTCTCTGAAGCCACCAACTGTCCATAGTTCTTCAGTTGGGAGAGCATGGCCTTCTACTCCCTCCCTGTTGGAGTGTTCACTGACTCGATATAATGCAGGCAACCACGGTTGCTGTCAGCTAAGGAGCACAGTGGTCCTGGCATGTCCAGAAGACACTGTTTTGCTCTGGTCTTTCCTGACCCTGGCTCTTACTGTCTTTCATCCCCCTATTCTCTGATGGAGTTCCTGCCCTACAAAGCTCCAAGAACTATCCCCCCCCCCCCCCCGCAACAGATCTACTGTCCTCTGGACTCTGCCTCTCTAATGTCTCTTTGGATATCTGCTTCCGTTGGTGCTCCACAGTGCACTGGAGACGAAGCTCTTTGACTGGCTGCTCAGGGACATAAACGATAGGGGATCTGGGCACTTCATCACAATACAGGGACGGTGGCCTTTGTGTGGAAGCTCTTCTCCATCTTGGGAATACTTAACCATGTTCTCCTGGGAGTTGCTACATCCAGAAAGATGCAGGGCATGTTGATCTTAGGACAGAGGCACCACTAACTGCACTGTGCAAGGCCTTCACAAGGCCCAAATTTGAGTCCAGACACCAAGGCATGTCAGCCTTCCATTCGGAAACAACAATCTGCTAGCAGGCTCAGGACACAGGCTCATCTGTTCCTGGGAAACTGAGAGCTGCTCATCGATAAATTAAAATCTGGCCCAGGCAGGAAGAACCAGAGCCTCTCCAAGGGTGTGTAAGGTGGGAAACCCTGGGCACACCAGAGGTATGGGGAAGTGGTGGAACAGGACTGAGGAGCCATGTGGGACTAACGGTGGGTGCTATGTGGCACTTGTTCAAGGAAGAATAGATGAAATTTGGCTTAGCAATAAACTTTACAAAACAGGTTGGTGGTGCGTGTCTCTAGTCCCAGAACTTGGGAAGTGGAGGCAAAATGATCATGTGTTAAAGGTTTTCCTTACCTACTTAGTGTGTGAGGCAACCTTGGCTCCATGAGGCCCTGTTTTGTTTTTGTTTTTAAATAATGCCCACAGCATGTTTAAATGTTGAAATGTACATTCCTATTTTGTTTGCTAATCTGTTTGTTCTTTTCTTAGGGCCCTTCAGGACGACCAGGAGACAAAGGACCCCCGGTACAGTATGCTTTAAATGGAGGACTGTCAACACAGTTCTAAATTAGGGACAATCAAAAGTTACTAGAAATGCTTCACACTAGGCAGACTCTCCAGAATACGAGCATAGACTTGTGGGACATATGGGGAAGGAGTGGTGAGATCATTTAAACCAGCATCACTGTTTCATATTCGGACATACTGAGACTGGCTCACCTCTTAGTAAGCACTCACCACTACGTAAGTAGAGCCCCAGTTTAGGGAATTTAATCCAATAGCCAGAACTTTTCTTTTAATTCTAGCTTTTCCCAGACCCAGAGCCAAGAACACATGAGAGAGTTTCTCTTGATTTGTAAGATGGAGGCAGAAGTACCTACGAGCCATTGTGGGAGTTCGTTGGGCTGATTTTATGCTAAAGCACCAGAAGAGCTGCCAGGGTACATTTATTCTCAGAAACAGCCACAGTTGTTCGTTGCTGCTTTCAAGCACTCACTGAATGTTGGCTGGTGTGTCTTCCACCCCTAAGTCACCTCGTGAGCAGAGGAGCTGCGTGTCAACAGCTGGGCTGATACCCAGCCTTTGGCTCTGTGCACATACTTTAAAGTAATGTTTCATTCATGGTTTCTGATTAAGGAGGACAGGGAGTCTGGTGCCTATTTTGCTAGATGAAGAGATAGAGGCTCAGAGCAATTGAGGTTCAAGACCCTGAGATTTCAAAGTAAATTATGCCAAATAAAGCTGAGGAAGGCGGGGCTCCGGATGAAGGGTGGGTCTGAGGTGAGGTCGGCAAAGACTCCAGACGACCTCCCGGGAGCAGGTAGTGTGAGTTCAGCCAACGCCCCAAGAAGAACTGGTTTCCTCTTGTAGATTTAAGGGATGAGTCTGTTGCCTGTGCGTCTCTCTGCTGTTGCCCAGGAAGTGTCAACAGAGTGAGCGTGGACTTACAGAAAGTGATCAGTGTCTTGCACAAGCTGAACGTTTTGTTGGGCCTTGTGCCAAGAAACTTGTGTAACCAATGAGGAGCTCAAGGGGCTGGCTGCCATCAAGGTGCACAGAAGGTGCGTTCTGGATGGGTACCCAGACCTGGTTCTCCACAGAAGTTGTGCCATCCACTCTAGCACGGGGCCAGTGCCCAGGGCTCATGTCAGATTCCCAGGGAGGGTTTCTCTGAGCATTGTGTCTGCACACAGAACACAGATGTTCACAGAGCACGTCCTATTTATTAGGGTGTGATCGAGGTACCTTTGACACATGCATTATTGTCAAATGTCTGTCCTTGCTGCTGGGGTAACAGACCCTGACGGAAGCACCTCGGGAAGAAAAGGACTGACTTTAGCTCTGTTCAAGGTGTGGTCTGTTGTAGCAGGGAAGTCAAAGCAAAAAAAAGCAGCTGCTCACACCTCATCCATAGCCAGGAGACAGATGTGATTGCAAGCTAGTGCTATGTTCACCATCATTTTCTACAGCCCAGCATTCCCTGACCACATTTAAGCAGTCCTCCCTCATCACTTAGCATGATTGTGATAATCCCCACAGCCATGTCCAGAGGCCCATTTCTGAGGTGATTTTAGGTTCTGTTGACAGTTCACACCAACTATGGCTCCCCACAGCAGGTCATTTGTGTAGTCATAACCTGTCTTTTCTTCTGTTTCATCAGGGATCTCGAGGTTTACCGGGTTTCCCTGGCCCCCAGGGACCAGCTGGCCAGGATGTAAGTAAGATAAAAGCCATGGGCTTAGAGCATGATTAGAGTCTCCCCTGTGAGCTCACCTACCATCTCCTGGCCTCCCTTGTCCACATGGCTAGCACCAAATCCTCGCTCAGTCAAGGATTTCTGTGAAGCCCCAGGATGCTTATTTATTTTATTTTCTGTCAATTATGGCTTTTTGCAAACTATTGATTTTCTTTCTTAAGCCTTTGTATCATGTTTTCAGAACCCTGGGTATTCCTGGTCTCCAGGCACTGTCTCTTATTTCTTGCTCACTGTCTTATGAAATACATCCTGATTCTTCCAGGAACAACTTCCTGGCCCTGTTCTGGCCCCCTCTCCTCAAGGGAATTACAGAGACTCAACTGAGACCCCTTGGGACAAAACCCCTTTATAATGATGCCAACAGTCAAAAGTCTTCATCTCTTGGCCTTTGATCAGATAGCTCTGAACCGCCTGAGTCGTCAGCGTCTGTAGGTTCCTGATACTCAGTAGCGTGCCTGGCACCAGAGCCATTCCATTTGCATTCACTGGCAAGATGAACAAATGGCAGCTATGAGTTTTTATAGGACAAAGATGCATGGCCCCAGTACGCGGCGGTGCTCACTGCTAATCTCCTTCCCTTCTTGTGTTCCTTTAGTCCCCATTTAGTCTCCTTTATCCATGGGCCATCCAACCTTCTTCCCTTCCTTGGATTCTGAGCCAGAAAAGAAAACCCCTCTAGGCCTTGTTTCCCAACATTCATATTTAATCACTCCCTTGTTGTTCTTACATTCTTATAGCCGGTCACCAACGAAAACATTTTCCCTCAAAGCTACTTGCCCCAGTCCTTATATTTGGAATAAAAGATTAAGACAGGTTTGTGTGTGAATGTGCACAAGGTGGTTTTAGTCTGGGGTTCTGGATGGGGCTTACAGAAAGCCTTACTTTGCCCTATACATTTACTACTTCTACTTGGAAGGTCAACCAGGGCCCATTTTCAGAGTTGGGTGAATTCCTCCCCAGCTAAGTCGCAGTTGGCAGAGACAGGGTTTAATGGAGGGCTGTATAGAGCAGGTAGAGATTATCGCCGTGGTGATGGCTTTCTTTTCTCTCTTAGGGTGCACCAGGAAATCCAGGAGAAAGAGGGCCTCCTGGAAAACCAGTATGTTACCTGTCGGGTCTGGATAAATGCTGACTACATCGGTCAGGGTGCCAGCAAGAAATAAAGCACAATTGAGACAGTTCAAGAGGCTTTAACAAGGGGCCAAACGGGCAGAGGGAAGTGATACTGGGTGCAGCGCGAGCGGGGATAGGCCATGGTGGGAGCCATGTTTGCACAGTTAGGTGCTGGCTAGAACGGTGGGATCAGAGCTGTGCATTCGAAGCCACTGCCAGAAAACCTGGCCCAAGACAGGTGGGCATCTTCTTGCCTTCCAAGCCCCTGACAATGCCTCCCTTTGGTCCAATTCAGCCATGGGCTAGCAGGCAGGCTAACCCGGAGATATAATGAAACAAGACAGAAGACAGAATGTGGAACTAGGGCAGAAGCTTGCCCATTTCCTGTCTTTTGCCTAGGTTGCCTGTTGGCACTGTTTAGACAGCTAGGAACAATTATTTTCTTTCACACGAGAATGGGAGACTCCCTAAGAGTTCAAGGAGAAGTCGACAGGTCCTTAGGTTGAGAACAAGCAAATTGGAGCTCTAACCAGTGTCTCTGAGGTACCGTGCCCTCATCTTCTGGGACACCCTTTGAATTGGCAGTGGCAGAGAAGAAAAGGTTTAGCCAGGTGACCAGGTTATCTGTTGACCTTCATGGGAGGGACTTGTGAGGCTGACCAGGTCTGGGGGGTGAGAGAGGCAGCTCCAGGAGGAGACAGACCATTAGAAGATGCTAACCAGGGTCCAAGAGAAAGTGGGCATCTGACAGGTATCTCAGGTCTTAAGACTTACCCCACTGTCTGCTGCTGGAATCAAGTTGTTCACTGTGACAGAAACTTCATCTCATGATGGGTTAAAGGGTTGCTTGTCCTCTTTACAAGCATGGCCAGGTTTCAGACAAGTGCCCAAGGTACATACAATCCTCCTTGTCTTGTTAGAGCTGGTGGCCAGGGCAGAGAGCCAGAGTGGGGTCTTATTCTGTCTCAGAGGCTGTGACACCTTTCACTGAAGACTTCCAGAGGGCTGGGTATGCGTCCCCTTGCACACTGTGGAGATACCTCTTTCCCTCCATGGACTCAGCGGAATAGCAGCCAGAGAAGTTGTTTGAAAGCCATGCCATCATCAAAGGGCAAGGCCACAGTGAAGCAGGTAGAAGAGAGAGACTCAGGCCGGAGGCATTGAATGTTTAAATCATACCCACCACATGCCAGTCCTGGACACCACCCTGCAAAGATAAACTGGCAGAGCATAGCAAACAGTGTAGGCGGTTGTGTCTCACTGTCTTTATCCAGCTGGCAAGATCTCTCATGGGTCTCTATAGTGAGTGGCCTATAGAGCTGTCTCACCTTCAGGCCAGGCCTAACCTCTGGACCCCCGTGTCAGTCGCTGGCACTGTGACTTCTCCAGCAGTTCTAATTAGTTCTAATTAGCAACAGAAGCTGGCCAGGAGTAAGGAGACTCTAGGTGGGTATAGATTGTGTATTCTCTGGCCCAACACATGTCACCACATGGTTCCTAATGTCACTGGGCCTAATCTCTGGTGTATGATCAACTCCTGAAAGGCATTTGTGACACTCTGCTGTGCATCTCGTATCCCATGCCCTAAGGTTACCATGTCCATACAAAGCCAAAATGACTTTCCTCAGAGCTCTCCTGAGGCGTTCAGAGAAGTGAGAGGAACAAGACCCTTGGTGATGTCATCAGAGAACCTTGCTGGTGACCGTATTCACCCCTGGCTCTCTGTCACTCTGTAAATATGGCCAACACACTCAAAGGGCTCGTGTAAGACATCAGTGCAAGATATCATAAAGGCACAGTGTCTACTGCCTCAGAATGTCTCATAGTGAGCTAGATGAGACCCCCTCCCCAACGCATGACATTCTCAGGGAAACACATAAGACCTCCGACTAAAACTTTCCCCTTTTAAATTAAAAGGTTAATAAATTGTTATTAGAAGATCAGATTTATTTATTTTTTTCTCCAGAGTGTCTCACTCTGATCACTGGAGGCAAGGGAGTGTCTCATTCTGGTGTATCTTTAGCAACTGCATGCTACATGGATTCTCCTTGCCAGACTAGTAACTCTACCAAACCTAAGTAGTTCTAGCCCCAACGTCTCTCAGAAACCTCACAGTTGCCCAGAGAGTTGATTGAATGAATTGTTGAACTTCTCAGCACAGGAGACAACATAAACCCTCTGTAGACAGTTCCTGGTTAATTCTGTGAAGCAGTTAGATGACTTGTCAGTTGCGCGATAAGACAAAGCCTGTGAGCCAGGGAAAATGGAAACTTCTAGAAAAATTGTCTTGGCCTTCCCCTCTTCAGGAATCACCGCTACAGATGATGGTGGCTCAGGCTTGCCATGATATGGGATGGAGTCCAAGGCCTGTGTCTGGGGAGTCGTCCCCGTGTGCCTCTTCCCATTGCACGGTCTGCAGCTTGCAGCCGAGATTTCCAATCCCTAGTGAATACTTACGGATCCTTCTCACCTATAACGGTCTTCTTTCTTACCATTCACCCCGTGTTAATTGTGCCCAATACAATCTGAGTTCTTATCCTGCCCTGTGCTGCAGATTGACTATAGTTTCCCTAAGACATATTCCGACTCAGTGGGTTTGTGAGTCCGGTGGCTGCAGCATCTTGCACACATACCTTCAGACATGCCTCTGACCCCCTTTCCAGAACCAAAGACTTCCATCCCAGAATAGAGGATTGTGTTTAAAATGTTCTTTCATCCATGAAAGCAGAACACACTGGTTTGCATTCATACTAGGCCATTCATGATTAGCAGCAATAACTATTGGCTACCTAAAAAATTCAAGGAAGGTGAATTGGAGGCACTCTGTCCCATATTTATGTGACCCATCATGCTTTGATGAGGGCAGGGAGGGAGAACAGAAGGGGACAACATGTAGAGACTGGGGACAGGAAGGCCTGAAGTCCTTCAGAAATGTCCAGGGCTAGGCAGCCTGAGTGGCTGCTACTTTGGCATGGTCCTTTGGTGAGTCTCAGGCTTGGGACTCTGATAGACCTGTCTGCATCCTATTATTGCTCAAATCTGTTGGGAGTCACAGCTTATACTCTTGAAGGTCGTTCACCCTCTGAAGATGCATGGAAGATACTGTATGTCTGCATGCGTGTCTGCACTTATCTGTTTTTACTTTGACAGGGCCCTTCTTCACTGCTGTCTCCAGAGGACATAAATCTGTTAGTAAAGGTAAAAATGCATGTGTGTTGATAATTGTGCTGGGGGAGTACAAGCCTCAAAACACCCTTTCCCCGCTCTGAACAGATATCCTATAGTATTAAGAACAGCAGCAGCAGCGTCTTTTATGAAACCATCGTGTGACCAGTGTCTGTTAAATCCACATGATCCAGTACGGCAGTAACCAACTACTGACATCAAAGATTTACTTATTTTTGTTTAATGTGTATGGGTATTTTGCCTGTATGTATGAATGTGCACTATGTACATGAAGTACCCATTACAGGTAAGAAGAGGGTGTTGAATTTCCTGAAATTGGAGTTATAGATGATTGTGAGCCACCATGTAGATGCTGGAAATCAAACTGGGTCCTCTAGAAGACCAAACAGTGCTCTTAAGTCCTGAGCCATCACTCCAGCAACCTCATGCATCTACCTAAATTAAAATTAAGTTCAACTAAAATTCAAGTCCTTGGTCATACTAGGCATTTTACAAGTACCTGCTGCCCCCATGTGGTTGGGAGCTACCTTATGGGGCAGTGCAGACATGGAGCACAAAGTTCTCTGGAAGGTTCTCCATGGAGTAGTGTCGAAATGCGTGATGGAAATTGTTTGTTCAATTTTAGCCTCCATGAGGTAGGTATGATCATGTTACTATTTTGCATATATGAAATCAGACACCTAAATAGGCTCAATGGATAGAATAGATTGTTTCAGAGACGGAATCCAGTGTTCATAGTCAAAGACTGGACTTGGCCTATAGAAGAATGTCTTCTCTTGGAAAGCTGGCAGGAGGCAGAGTCGAATAGTTGGTTTCTGGATCCTGCTGGCTCAAAGGTAGAAGCACAGGCTTCTGGAAGTAAGGACAGTCACAGTCCTGACTTGATGGGCTACTTGCCTGCTTTCCAGAATGATGTTTGGCTTTTTTTTTCCTCTGAGAGATATAAAGCACTTACCATAACTGAACCAGAATCAAATGGGATCTGGTCAGAGTCATGCCCAGAAGCCAAGTTAAGGAGCTCCACTTTGCTTAAGGGCCTTGAGTCTTGACTGGTGAAGAGCTGGGCAGGGTTACAACAGCTTTAGATTCATGTTCAGAAAGAAACACTGTGATCATGGTGTTGGGAGTAGAGGGCCCTTGGCCGACTCTTCTCCAAGTCTTGGTCACAATACTGTATTTCACGTGGCTATTGGTCTCTACTTCCTGTATTCTAAAAGCCACTGGATGACAGCAGAAGGTCTCTGGTTAGCATATGAACCTAACTGAAAAACAAAACAAAACAAAAATCCCAAAATATCTTATAAGCTTGAGGCTTTTAATCTTCCTGTGCGCTGAGATGTATTAATGGAGAAATCAAATTTTATGAAAATAAGAGTACACTAACTTTATAGATTTTTATTGATAGGATACTTTTTAACCATTAAATAGATTACATTATCATTTATTTGAACTTTATTAAAGGCTTTTATTAACTTAGATAGTCCCTCCTGGTTTTCAGGCTCTGTGAGGACCTGGGTTTGTATCATTGCCCGCTTCTCAGGATTTAAACCTTAGACTCTCCTGATCTGGGTGCCAATGACAGCAGAAGAGGATGGGGCTGCAAGGGTCAAACCTCCAACCCCAGGGCCACAGAGCTGAATCAGCCCTTAATCCGGTGCTGATTCTCCAGCTGCTGCTGTTCAGGATGCAGTTGTGTTCATCTGGGCATCTGGAAACACAGAAGCATAAGCACTTGGGGTCAGGGCAGCTGCCCTGTGCTTGGAAAACTTCAGACTGCAGTCTACCCCCCTTGGAATTGGCTGGAGCTGTGGATCTGGCCATCGTTAGCTTTCTGATTCTGGAGTCTACTGCCACTGTGATTCTAGCGGTTAAAGTCTGACAATCTAGTCTAGGTGACTGGGGACTAAGGAGGTATCTTTCGTTACAAAACTCACTGCGGCCCCTAAACATTTTAGAACAGCTCCTATCTCATCATGGCAGTTTGGACGCTGCCTGGGTAGAAGGTCCATCTCAGACCTGCCCCATGAGATGGACTTCTGTAGTGAGATCTGTGCCCTGGGAGCCCAGCCTCAGGGTGCCTTCATGAGATGATGCCATTTGTAAACCCTGATTATCTACCCCCTCCCCTAAATTCTCGGGCAGTGTCCCAGTACTGGCTTCCTTTTATAGAGTAGGAGGTTGAGGAGTGGATGAGTCTGTAAATGGGGCAAGACATCAGATTTAGGCTGTAAAATAATAAATAATAAGCCACATGAATATATAGTAACTACACTTTGTGTTTTCGTTCTGTGCCTGATGAGATGTTGGACATTTTTCAATCTTTTTCGATTTGTTTTTTTAAAATACAGTATTTTCTTTATTATTTTCTCATACAATACATTCCAACTGCACCTTCCTCTGCCTCCGCTTCTCCCAGTTCCTCCCCTCCCCCTGATCCACTGCTCCTCCATTTCCTTTCAGAAATAGCAGGCCTTCCAGGGATATCAACTGAATATAGCATAAAAAGATGCAATAAGAATAGGCCAAACCCTCATATCAAGTCTGTCCAAGGTAACCCAGTAGAAGGGAAAGGGTCCTAAGAGCTGACAAAAGAGTCAGAGACATCCTCATTCCCACTGGAAACCCAAGCTAAATAGTTATAACATGTATACATAGGGCCTAGCACAGACCCATGCAGGCGTCGTGATTGCTGCTTCAGTCTTGAGCGCTTATGAGCCCTGCTTTGTTGATTCTATTAGCTGTGTTCTCCTGATGTCTTTGACCCCTCTGGCTCTTACAATTCTTCCCCCCATTTTCTGTGCGGTTCCCTGAGCACCCTTAATTTTTGGGTATGGGTCTCTGTATCTGCTCCCATCAGCTGCTAGAGGAAGGCTCTCTGACAGCTGGGCAAGGCACTAATCTATGAGTATAGCTGAATATCAATAGGAGTCATTTCATTATTTTTTTGGGGCCAATTTTTGGTTCTGTCTAGGTCTCTAGGTCATCTAGCTTCTGGTTCCTGACTGTCCAGGTACTTTTGAGTGTGGGTTCCCTCTCATTGCTTGTGTCTCAAGTTAGACCACCCCACAAGCTATGAGCCACTTTTGCCCCATCATTTATTGTTGTTTATTGTTAGATTTGGAGGCCCTCATTTCATAAGCAAGAAGATTGAGGCTCATACATTTGAGTCCGTATGCCAAGTGGGCAGAAGCCTTGTGAAGTCACATGCCAGAGATAGGTTATATGCCAGCAGGGCCTGGTCAAGCCCATCTGGTTGGAGAAAAGACCCTGTTCAGTCTCTAGAAACTCAGAGAATATATGAGTCACCCTCTAAGGTGTGTAGAATCTAGAGAAATTGGGTCTCCAGGGTGTCAACAGCCAAGGAGCACCTCAGTAGGACTGTAGGTGGGGCTCCTCTCACTGTGCTGACTGCTATTCTACACTGCTCCAGTAGGCCGAGTCTAGCCTTGGTACTGGGGCAGCTGGGACTGCAGATATCCCTGATCTTCAGGGGACAGCCTTGCATAGCCTACCACTAGGGAAGACCTGAGCTTAAAGCTTTTCTGGAGACAAAACGTGGCAAGGATTTTAAGATTTCCAAGCCCAGAAAAAAATCTTAGTGGCTTGGATTCTTGCTGTCATCAAGCAAGCTTCATTCTTACTCATGTATCCCTCCCTCCTTCCCTCCCTCCCTCCCTCCCTCTCTCCCTCCCTCCCTCCTGCCACTTACACACTGAAATATCATCCAATAGCCATCTACCCACCCACCTATCTATATTTCCCAGTTATCCACCCACCCTTATATCCATCTACCATAGACACCTATAGCCATCCATCTGTACATCCATCCATTGATAAAATAGTCCTTTGATACATCTCATTTAAAAACATTCAAATAGAAAGCCTAGTTCTTCTATGCTTTTCCAATTTAAAAAAAAATAAACTAGGAAATGTAGTTTGCTCCATTTTACGTTACCCCCACCTTGCTTCATACTGTTATGCTATATACCTTCCAGATTTTCAGTCAGTCTCTCAAACAGCATACTGCACTATGGCGGAAGAAGACATGAACATGTCGGTGATTAATTAGTTGGTCCATTGTTAGATAGTTGGTTCATTTATTAACCTCAGCACCAGGGACAACCATTTGTTATGAACTGGCCCTGTGAAGTTCTAGACTGTTTTACTCTCTCTACTTTGTTGGGGGAGAGAATGGAGTTACAGTTGGACTACCCAATGCTGAGACAAGTTCATGGGTGCACAATGAGCTTTCCCTGTCTGGCTGCCATCAGGGAAGTTTAGAGTAGGAGATGCGTAAAGTATGTTTGAAGAGGACATAGGGGAGATACAGGAGAAAGGAGAGCTTGCCTTTCTAACAGAAAACCTATGTTCCGAAACTAGAGGTCAAGCCGGGTGAACGTGGATTCCCTTTAGACTGTAGGTCACTGAGTGTGAACCCACAGAGAAGCCATATATTTTTATTTGCCCTTCCATACAGAACGTTCAGTGGACCTTAGCTAGCACGAGGGTTAACACCAAAAACCCTTTAGGGTCATACAGTCAGTGGTCTCAAAGCCCAGCACAGTATCCAGCAGACCAGAGGCTTTGCAAGTATCTTTGACAAGAGTGCTTCCTCGGAATGAATAATGGGCCACTAATCATGGCTGAATGTCCTGGGCATTGTCTGCCTGGTCCCAGTCTTCTTTGTGTTTGCTGTGTGTTAGCTTATTTGATTTTACTATAGGAAGAGAGAAGGGGGAGGATGGGAGGATGAATAGAAGAACTTAGGAGGAGGTGCTCCAAGAGAGGGGTGCCGGAGTGGAGTCATGTGACTTGGTACTTAGCCGGCTGTGAGCTTTTCAGATCTAGAGGTGACACAGACAGGTATGAAAGTTTAAATTTGCCCCAGGAACAGCATTGCCCTGTCTTGATAAGGAGCAAATCTGGGTTCCCAGGAACATTTATGAAATGCCTGTCCTGGGAAGAGAACAGTGCTAAGCAGAGTCAGAGCATGGCTTTGTGTCACAGCCAGGACAGACTGTGCTAGGTGCCCGCGGCCCCTTTGTTCTCCTTTCTTAGGAAGCCACTTTCTCTTGGCACACCACAGAGACTTTTCCCTCCAGGCTTTGTTTGCCTCTGTCCTCCGGGCAGAGCATTCTATTTCTAGTACTGCGACATATTTGCCTTCAGTGTGCACTCTTAATGTTTTTGTTCATGCCCACAGGCATTTTTATATGCATTTTGACATTATTTTCTCAGACCATACTTCCAACCAGGTGACTGGCTGGAACCAGAGAAAAATGGGATAACAATTTAGATACATTTGTGCTGAAATAAATTTAGACACAAAAGCGCCTGGGCCATGATAATCCATCGATTTATTTTTCCATCTTCATTAGATTTTATAGCCAAATATCACCTAGAGGGGAAGGACATGGGATCACTTTGCCTTGTAAGTAGCTGCATTATTTACTTGGTTTCATCTTCTTCTCTAAGGACGTGTGCCACGACTGCCCTCCAGGTCCCCCAGGCCTCCCAGGTCTTCCAGGTTTCAAAGGAGACAAAGGTCTCCCAGGAAAGCCAGGGAGAGAAGGGTCAGAAGGCAAAAAGGTAAGGAGAAGGGAGTGGAGCGAGGCTCCATTCCTGCAATGAAGAATTCCATTGTCTCAATGGATTCAGGGTTGGGGACTGTTTAGATCACAGGGGAGGGCAAGGATGGCAGATTGGCTATCTACAGATCTTTGCCATTTTCTGTAAACACTGCCTGTGACATTCCAGTGTATGGTGATGTCTAGAAATCCTCGCTCCTTTGATGGGTCTTTCCCGCTGCCTCTTTTTCTTTTATCTATCTGACGTTGAGTGATCGAGTATGTGCTAGCTGCCACAGCAGACCTTCACACCCGTGTTTGCCTGTCTCACAAACAAAGCCCAGGAACTGAAGAAATGGTGGCTTCTTCAGAGCCAGCAGTCTGGAAACCCAGAGCAAACTCGGCCTTCCAGATCCTCTTGCTCTTTAGCATGTTTATAGAGAACCAGATCAGAGGTGATAAATCAATTCAGATATTTAATTGTGGCCTTCTGGGTTTAAGTTTCTGAGATTCCCTTCCCTGTGTTATCATCTCTTAGAGGCAGGGCAGAGACACACACCAAGGCCACTGTGTCTTGTGTATATCTCGAGATATCTGATGACACCAAGAATTAAGACTAACCCAGAAGAAGCCAACCATTAGTAGTGTGTACATAAAGATTTCTTCCTTTAGGATAATAAATGCATTCTTCTAATATAGACTGTCATGTGCTGTTCTCCCCCATTTATGCATATATTTACTTCTTCACTACCTATTTTCAATACTCCATTAAGTGTGTACTAAGAGTCAGTGGTACACAGCTGTAACTTCAGCCCTTGTGAGATTGAAGAGGAAGATCACAAGTTTGAAGCTATCCTGGACTATATAGTAAGTTCCAGCCCAGCCCAGACTCATAGCGAGGGCACCTGTTATTCCCCTATTCCACAAATGTGTGTTCTGTATGCTGGTCAATACGTAGACAGTGGAGAGACCCAAAAGAAAAAGCTCAAGTCCCAGTTCTCATGGAGTCTATGGGCCGGCTTGGGTAGAATGGGGCGTAGGTCATTTTTCCTAGGGTGGAAGGAGAACACTGAGAGCAAAATCTCATTTCCAGCAGTGAAAACTGCTCCCCAAAAGCAGAAAAGGAAAAAAAGTTTTGATATTAAATAAACACCCAGCCACAGTGTGTGACACTGTCGGGAATATGTTAGGAGATGGCTAAGGCAAAGAGAACTCCTACTTCATATAGCCAGGACAGCCAACCGTACGTTGTAGGCATTTTCTCAAGGTAAGCCATTTCATAAGAGGACTCAATAACACCATTTTTATACATTCTTGCCCTAGATTTACCTGGTAACCATGACACCGGGTCAGCTGATTGGCTTTATCTGGAGTTGAGAGGGTATTTCCTCTCTGTGTGATAGGAGGAAGCTGTACAACTTGGAGTGTGGGTTGTGTTAGCATTCTAAAGAAATTGGGTGTGAGAGCCATTTCCTTGCCGATTGTATTCCAGAGATGACCCTTGAGAAAGACACTCATGGCTTAAAAATCTGACAAAAAAACCCCATTTATCTTTGAAAACGAGCTGGGTATATTTCATTGTGAGAACTCACCGTGACATTATCCAAAGAGCCTGCTCAGAAAGTGGGTTGTGGAATGGTCTCTTCTCTTATTATCAGAAGAGAGTCAAGTTTCTAATTGATAGTAAGTTCCATAATTATATGGCTCGGATAGAAACACAGATCTGAAATATAGTGTTCTTTTTCTCTCTTGTGCCTTAAGCACTGTCTGCTTCCCTTGCTGAGGTCCACACATGTAGATGCATTGAGCCTGTGCATGTATGACAGAAACCCAGCCGTTCCCTTATACACTGTGGAACTAGGATCACAAAACAAATCCTAGAGCCACTTTGAGTTAGAATGTGTCCCCTTGGCTCAGTTCCCCCGGTGATCAGGTCATCAAAGTAAACATGCATTTGTTTGTAATATTGCTCATGCACTATCTCACAGGCTGTGAAGTGGGCTTGTTGGATTCCCATAGATCTTTCTTCGCTTAACTTATTTTTAATAACACAAAGAACTTTTTTAGTTCGTAGGCCTGGAAAAAGAAAGGGATAGGGGTTAGGGAAAAGGGGACAGCGATGGAATATTCGCAACATGGAAGCAGGGTTGTTGCAGGAGATGGAACCAGTGATGTGGGGGCGGGGAGGGGCAGCATATGAGTAAATAAGAATAAAGTATAATGACATATAGATATGGCCATTACCCTAATTAAGTCCATTGCTTTGCATGCTAAACAATTAGTTTTAAAAACAAAATAAACAAATAAACAAATGGATAAAAGAAGAAGGAAGGGGACAAAGAAAGATGGGCAGGCAGCCTCTTGTTGAAGTTGAACATGTATGGTTACTCTCAGGAGCCCTCACTTTGGGGTGCTGCCAGGAGGTGGCTTTTGGGGTGACAGTTCTAAATCACCGCGGGAGTTTTAGATAAATCCTTCCAGGACTCCCCACAACAGACTCTTCACAGTGCCGGCCCGGAGATTGCATCCTTGGGTTGGAAACCCCTAGCAGCTGCATCTCAATTCCTTTTGGAGTTCAGACCCACTCTTCTCTGTTCCTCCTAGAGGAGCTGGTGGCCATCCATGATCCCCACCCTGCCCTCTGGGAAGCCCCTCTTCACAGCTAAATGGCTAATGTTCTAGGTGTGATAAAGCAAGAACAGCCATAGCAAAGTGCCTCCTGTGTATAGTCATGTATGGATGTGTACATCCAAAGCACATGGGCATACACAGTGGACACCCCGTGATCTCAACTTCATCACCCACCTTGAATACCCTTGATATTGGTCAGTTCATTACACTTTTGCTCATAGCAGTAGGTGGATGTGGCCAAGTTGCTTAGTTCTGGATTGGGTCTCCCCTCTGGTGGCCCTCAAGCCCCGAGCTGTAATTTCTTGAAGTTCTGTATGACAAACAGGCAAGGTTTTTCCATGGCTTTCAGCTCAGCGCTCAGCTCCACATTGTCCTAGTCCCTTTCTTCCCACACGTATGTGCCCTAAAACTGTTGAGTGGAATCGAGACAAAGCAACGGGTTTTCCTAGAATGCGTGGTTGGGCAAGGAGCAAAGATGGAGGAGGGCAGTCCAAGGTGGGAGCTCGTCAGTTTTTCACCCTTATTACGAACACAGTACACTCTTAATTCCAACCCTATTCTGCTGGCAATGCAGACCAATCAGGATACACGCAAATATGGGAAGCAGGGAGCATCAGGCCACCTTAGTACCTGAAAGCCGCATTGTCACTAGCTAGACATATTAGTAGTGGTTAGGCCTCCGATTTCACGGCCACATTTGATACCATTGCTTGCCTACACCTGTTACATGTGAGGAAGACTCTGGCTGCACTGTAAGGCTGATGCCTGGGGGTGATTTCAACTTGAGATCCTTTTTGAAATGATTATTTTCTTTATTTTATTTGTCTTTTTGTTTCTGTTACAGGGAGATACTGGGCCTCAAGGCCCCCCAGGGCCTCCAGGAGTGGCGGGACCACAGGTCAGTGAATCCCAGTAAATGTCTTGTCTTCTTCCCCTTCAGTGCCCCATCTAAGCTGGAGGCAAGTAATGCCTAATAGCTGTCTTAGCATTGGAAAGTCAGGTCCCAGGTTGTATCTGATTTTAGTGACCTGGGAAACACAGTGCAGCCCTCTGAACCCCAGTTCCTCTCCTAGAAACCTCCAGTCTGCATTACACACTGTGGCCATCAAAGGCACTGAAATGTGCAGCCCATATTAATTGATATCAGACACCTCAGCTTCATGACACGGAATAAGATGGCATTCAGAGCAGTGTTAGCACTGAGTTATAGGATGCAAAAAATAACTGGTGATCACTGGTACAGGAGTGAAGAAAGTGCTCCATAAATGTGGTTGAGCTCTGCTACCCTCATGGGAACATAAGGCACACATTAAAGTCAACTGTGTGAAGCCACAGAGACGAGGTCGGAGAGGCATGATCTCAACCAAAGAGTAGGCAGGAAAATGGCTCCTTGGCTCTCAGAACTGGTATTCCTGGCCTGGAGCCCTAGGGCCTGTCAGTGTTGACTCAGCTTTAAGAAGGGACTGTACAAAGCTGGGATAGGAACAGGAGAGGTGGGCTCAGCGCCCTTGTCCCCACGGATGCTCTCTCGGGGAGTTCTCTCTGGTCTACTGTGGCCTCAGTGCTAGCGCTTAGGAAGGAGTTGTTCTTTGTGTCTCTTCCTATGCCCGGTCTGGATGGAGTGTTATCCTTCTAATAGTGTGGGTAGCAGGAAGTTTGGGGTCAGGAGAGAGACACGGTCTTGAACTCTCAACCTGGGATCTTAGAAGAGTTTCTGAATTTCTCTGTTTTGCTGCTTTAATAAACTGGGGCGTGTCATCATGACTCCTGAAAGTAAAATGCTGTCACCGGCACTGGGTAAGCTACAGACTCTCGGTTTATTGTTCTTTCAGTCCCTGGAGTCACAGCCTGTGGAGGGACCTAAAAGAAGGTTGATATAAAATTTAAGAGGTAGCCAGAAATCTCAGTAACCAAGGTAAAAACACATACTTGAATGTAATACCTTTGGGAAACTTGCAATGAATATAGGAGATTCAAAAGGAACTAAAGAACAATCAGAATTTAAACAAAGGCAAGACTGACCCTAACTTAAATGACTGTTTTCACCCCCACTCTGCTACTTTCAAGTGGGCAGAACCCCTATCAGGTTGCATTTTGAAATTCTGTCTATTTTGGTTTCTCTTAATTGATTTTAGATTTTTAAAATTTTTAAAATGTTGTACTTTAATCTTGGTTACTGAAAAAAAAATATCAAAGTGCTGGTTAGATGGTTCAGTGGGTGAAAACACTTGCTACCAAGCCTGATGACCTGAGTTTGATCCCCAGAATTCATACGGTAGAAGGAGAGATCCAACTCCTGAAAGCTGTCCTATAAGTAGGTGGGCACATTCACTGTGGTGTGTGACCAACTCAAAATGAATAAATTAATAAATGTAAAAATTATTCAGAGGTGAGTACTTGCCTTAATCTATACCAAACCCTTCAACATGGTGTTGAATTGTTTTAGATTTATTTATGTTTATTTTGTGTATATAAGTATTTTGCCTGAATGGAAGTATGTACAGTACATGTGTGAAGTGCCTGTAGAGACAAGAAGAGATTAATGGAAGCTCTGGAACCGTGGTTACAGATAGTTTGAAGCTTCTGTGTGGATACTGCAAGCTGAACCCGGGCTCTTTACAAGAGCAGCCAGTACTGCCAATATCTTTATACTTAATATATCACAAATGATGAGAAATATCTAGGTCTCCCAGGCCCTGTCCAGCAGGTTGAGATGGCTAGCATTTGTGATCCATATACAAAACCATTTAGTGGTTTTGATACAGTTAAGAGTTTGGTTTCAAAAACTGCCATTAGTTCCTATTGTATACAGACCAGGAGATTTTGCCGAGGGTGCTTTTACATTGAGCAAGACCAGCATGCAGCATCACTGAATGTCCCTCTAGCCACTGCATGTGAATCTCTCTCTCTGATCCTACCGGGAAGGCTCGGCCACGCCCCTGGAGAATTCTGTGCAGCGGCTTCAGCTTTTCCTTAGCTGACCTTTGCTGCCTTTGTGCTGGCTGCTGGGCTTAGCCTCTTGACAAGAAGGAGCCGTTATCCAGAGACACAAAAGCAAATCAATTAAACCAGTCCAGCACACTTCCTGCATTGCAAACAGACAATTTTCCTTGTCATCTCAACCGGGCAGGAGGCACTGATCTTTCGGGATGGAGTCTCCATTCTTGTTCTCTTATGACTTACAGCAAGGGCAGGTGTTCTTTAAATATTTTGAAAGAGCTCTTGCCAGAAAATGAACAAAGCTTGGTGCTTTATCTGAAAGCCAGGCTCCTGCTCCTCCAGTTGGTTACTGGTGGTGTTCTTGAAAATTCTTTGGACTCAGGGAGAACCTCCACAGTAACAATGGCCTAAGGACCAGGTGATGGCCTATATGATATGGCCTCCTGAGCATGATCCTGCAAGGGACACTTATCTTACAGACGAGGAGACTAAAGTTTAGCAACACAAGATGCTAGGAACCAAACCTGCAGGCAGTGTAACTGAAGCTGACCTACAAATCCATGGGTCATCATACTTCTAACTAATAACAACACCAGCACCCAGCACCCGGAAAAGTTCCCAGTGCTCCTTCATTCTAGGCTGAGAGTAAGACCCTTAGGGTAGCCTGTCCTTGTCACTGTGGAGTGTTGATAAATGAGTCACAGAGGCATTGATGCCTCTTCTGAAAACCCACAGGTTGGCATCTTGGTTCTTGGTTTTGAACTCAGACTACTTTTTTCTGCTCTTCACTTTCCCCATGACACTGTCCAGAAAACGGACTTGTTTCTTTTCTGTCCATTCTCACTCACCAAACAAAATCTTTGTAAAATATATGGATACAAAGATATATTTGTCAGCAGAAAGTGCTCCCCATGACAGAGAAGCAATGGCCACTGTAAGCATCCATTGGTCACTGAAAACCTTGAGTGCTCACTGGTCTCCCTGCATTGCCAAGAAGGCTTGGTTTGGGTCTACCACCGTGACTCAGTATCCGACCAACTGCCTCTGTGTAGAGTCTGTCTGCAGAAGCTGGGACTGGGATGAGGAGCTCAGCACCATGGATAGCTTCAGAGTTCCATCATGAGTTTAGAAACTCTAGGGCAGGGTGCTGCAGTGCTTGCCATTCTGGTAGAGAAGGAACAGGGAGTAAGATGGCAGTCATGGTGACAGCCCTGGGGTCACGTGGTTCTGCATTCAGCTAGAAGAGTTTCTCCTGCATTGGTGATGGTGATTGTTTAACAGCTGCCTCTGCTGAGTACTTTATTTCCCGCTTAATGCACATTCTTAACCAGGCCACGGGTCTAATGGAACCCTAAAATGGATCTGGAGACATCCCAGAGAGCAGACATCCTGTTTGGAAAGTTCCGAATAATTCAGAGGAGGCAGAGGTTACACTTACTGCTGTTTCTGTTGACAGAGCATACCAAAGAACCCCATCCATCAGAGGCCACCAGGGCCATTTGTTCTATGATCGCTTTATGAGCCAGTACCATCTTCCATCCCCAGGTGCTCAGTCCTGGGGGCTAACACTTCATGTTCCCTTTAACACCTTCCTCCCAAGTCAGGTGGTACAGGGGGAGGTCAGACACAGGTCATTCTTCTGATGCAGGGAAGAAACCAACAGTCTGGTGGGAACACACGGAGAAGGCATTGTGGCTGGAGACCCTTATACTGGCAGACATAGGCTTGGCTTTGGAAACTGGTACCTCTCTAAACTCCCCTGCCTTCCGCTGCCTGGATGAATTGACTCACTAATTGCAGTAACTGGACATTTTGTTAACTTCTCTGACTCTTCAGTCAGTTATTTAAAGACTGCCTGGACAGAAGGTTTGCTCATGAGTTTTAGTAGCACAAACTCTGATCATAACTCTACTTGTAAAAAAAGTGGCAAGGAATGTCTAGGAACCAAACAAAAGAACATTTATAAAGTCCAGCATGTAGGAAGCATTTAATACCCATGACTGATGGTGGTCCTCATAGCTCTTAGGCCATTGGACGTAGTAACAAATATAGCAGGAGACTGGAGAGAGCAGATAGATGTCTTTAATGAAACTAGTGTGGTGGGGCAAGGGGTGACCCATGACATCCCCTGAGGAGGTGGATTTAGTTGCACCGAGGGATTAGGCAGTATTTGTCGTGCATTTGGGGGGGAGGAAGTGAGGTGGAGTTTTAGGCAGGAAACAGCTGGGCCTCTGGTGAGAGGAGCAGAGAGCCTTATTTGCTCCAGGAGTTCCTGCCTTCTCCTTCACATCTTGCAGAACCCATGAGGAGATCCATCCAGCATTTGGCTGACAGAGAATAGCACAAAGGGGAATTCTAAATAATGGAAACACAAATAAAGCGGCACCATGGTTTCAAAATCAGTGCTTATATTAATTTATAATTATATTAAAAAAGTCAAAGTCTCTTTCCAATCTAAGAAACCTCTCCAAAGATAGAAAAAGAATCAGTCTTATCAATATCCAAACACTGATCCAGAATGCAGTGTGCACCACATACTCAGGAGGAGGGTGGAGAGTTGGAGAAACTTCAGTCTTGGGAGCCATTGTGTATGGTTGACCTCAGCGTGTGCATTCATGTCTCAGGCAGTGCTAATTGCTGTAAACAGAGACTGCTTGACCTATTAGCTCAGGCTTCTTACTTACTAACTCTTACAACTGAAATTAACCCATTTTTATTAATCTGTGTATCACCATGGGGCTGTAGCTTACCAGTAAAGGTTCTGGGCATCTTTCTCCTTCAGTAGCTACATGGCATCTGCCTGACTCTGCCTACTCTTTCTCTGTATCTGTTCGGATTTCCCACATGACTTTATTCTGCTAAGCCATTGATGGACACAGCTTTATTCATTATCCAATAAAAGCAGCACATATACAGAAGGACATCCCACATCAAGCTGCTACTAAGACAGAGGACATGGTGACTCCATTTGCCAACCACTTTCATTCCAGATGTGCCAAGTACCTGGTGATCATCAGTAAACTAGCTGGCTTACTTGCTGTAGAATCTAGGGGCATAAAAACATCTCCAGCCCTTGTCACAGAGGGTAGTTTTGTGCCTGTGATCCAGACTTCTGCCAATGTTAGTTCCTGCCATCCAGCAGGAACTGGGAAAGGGACGGTTCCCCCCCCCCCATGTTTATTAAATTCCAAAGAGATGATTACTAGGTTCTGAGAAAGATATAATTGGGCTCCTGGCAATCAGCAGGCTGAAGATTCATTTATTAGTAACTTTTCTATTGCTGCGATAAAACACAGCAATGGAAACCAGGTCACTAGGTCCTCAGAGTGTGACTTGCCCTACATCCCCCTGGTACCCTCATTCTCTGTCCTCTGCTTCCTGGCTTCCCTGATGCTAACTTTTCTGCTCTCCCATGCTGCTTTGACTACAATGACTGATATCTCTGAAAATGCGAGTCAAAATGAATAATTCATCTTTTTCTGTCAGGTATTGGGTTATACATATGCAAGAGTAACAAATACACAAGTATTTTAAGAAAATTGTGCATGTGGAGTGAGAGCGTCCCTTAATTTTATTTATTCATTTCTTTTTACTGTGGAATCATGTTTATTTCTGTTATGTCATTAGCTATTTGAAATGGATATCAGGCAAAATGTACCCAATTTAATTTATAGTTTTTTTTATAAAAAAACAAGGCAATAATTACAACATTTCTCCCTTCCCCTTCAAAGGGAAGCATTTCATCCCTTCAACCCCCCATATGCCCTCCTTATTCTGGTTCAAATTCATCTCTTTTGCCATTAATTTTTATTAAATGTATATATGTATGTACATATACATTCCTTCGTATGACTTGCTCAGTGTGTATAATGTTACTCAGATGTACATTTTTAGGGCAATGCATTTGGTCCAAACAAGCAACTGGTTGTGCGCTTCCCTGGGGAAGACGATTTTTCCTGCTTGCCTCACCCTTAGTTGCCTGTAGTTCTTCATTTAGGCTTGAGTTGGAAAACAAGAGCGAAGCCTTTGGAAAGGTTGCTCACTAAACATCTAAAGAGAACTGGGCAATTACAATGGTCCTGTAGCTTTGCAAGGACAAAGGCCCTGGGAAGGTGGGATTTAGACCTGTCTTTTTGATTGTTGCGTTTCCAGTGTACAACCATGCTGTTAGCATGTTAGCATGGTTGATCTGCCTTCTCCACCATCAGTCAAATCTCAGGACACATAAACCACCCAAACCAGGCATCACGGCCTCGGAAATGTGTCAGGAAAGTAACTTGGTTAGGGAGAGGCTGCTGCTTGGATATTTGATAATCAGACAAGATTGGCAGAGTTTAGATCCCTGAGCTTACTTATGCTCTGAGACCGCAGGTGGGTGATTGGATCTATTGATTGACCGATTGATTCTTTTTTTCTTTCTTTTTATTAAATGAGGCAGGGTCTCATGTTGCCCAGACTATTCTGGAACTCACAATGTAAATGATAATTATCTTGAACTCCTTAACCTCCAGCCCTCCTTGTCCAAGTGTGGGAATTGTAGCAGGTGCCTCCATTGTCAGCTCAGATTTTTATCAGTCTGCAGAGACCAAGGTCAAAAGCAATTTCAGTGACGACACTGGGTGTCTTAGACATATCACATACTTATCCGTGAGCTCAGCGTATCAACAAAGAGCTGCAAGGGACAGGATCTTTTGTGAAAAGTTCTGACACAGCGCCCAGCACGGCAGGGGATCCATAAATGTCAGACCCTTTCCTGAAAGGAAGTGAGTCATGTTTGGAGGTGGCTGTGTTTGCGCAGCTCTGCGGCTGTAGTGGGCACAGAGACAGGGACAACTGTGGGGATTCTGAGCTGCTGGCATTTTCATTGTTGCCAGCTGCACGTTGAAACCGCTCTGCAGCTAGGCTGAAGACTGGGATTTGAAAGGGATCCATTTACCTCTAAAACCAATTGTCCTGAATGTCAGAGAAGCAGTGTGTAGCTCTATGGCACTTCTTTGGTCGTGAAGTAGCTGCAGACAGAGTGCCAACTTTAGACACCAAGCAACACTAGATGTAATAGCATGCAAAGATGTTGGAATAAGTTCTTTTTCTCTTGTGAACCGCCTTCTTTCTTCCTTTAAACAGTGGCACCTAGCACTTTGTAAGCATCATTTCCTTTAACCCTCACAGCACAGTCTAGGAACCATTAGAAAGAGGGTCCTTAGCATTACGTCAGTGAGCTGCTGTGCACGAGAGTGAGATGGATGGAAAGAGAGCTGGACTTTACACCTCATGAGAAAACTATGATACCCTGGACTCACTGAACTCCCATACTTTGACCTGCTCCCACCCCCAGTCATTCTGCATGGGCAGTTAGAGGTCTAGGAAGAGATGAAGAGGGATGGGAATGAAACCAGAACCAGAGCAGTTCACTACCAGGGACTCTTCATGGCACAGCTGGATATTTTAAAGGACCCAAAGTGCGGCCGTTTAATACAGTTTACTGTAATACATTTGTTAATACGGTAGTATACTTGGTGTGATGGCTCAATTCTGTAATCTTAGCGCTTGGGAGGCTGAGGCGGAAATAGTGATACAAGTTTGAACACAGGCTAGGCTACATAATGAGTCCTAGGGCAGTCTTAGACGCAACATAAGAGCCTGTTTTATTTTTATTTTTTTTTTAAAAAAACAAAGCTACATCTGATGGCTCAAACCTGTGTTCCCAGTATTCATGAGCAAATGAAGGAGCATTGATGTAAGTTTGAGGTCAACCTGGACTACATAGTGCTAGGACAGCCTGGGCTATAGTTTAAGAATATGTCTCAGAACCAAACCAAAAAAAAAAAAAAATCACCCCCCCCCACACACTAAAAGCAGAAGACCTACACGTAGACTGGATGAAGTGGGCCCAGCTGTAATCCCTGCACTAGTGGAGGCTGGAGAATTAGGAGTTCAAGGCTATCCTCAGCTACATAGTGAGTTGGAGATCAATTTGAGCTTTATGTGATTCTGTCTCAAAAAACTCAGAAAAACAACAAACAAACACATAAACAAAACATGACTGCCCAAACATGAGCTGAGCAAAGATGATGTCAATAGGCATGCCAAAGTGGATGGGGAAAAGCCCACAAGGCCTTAACCCTATACAAAGAATTCTAGGCAATTAAGAAATGCTAGGAGCAGGAGAGGTGCTCTTGCCTAGGGAAGAGCATATCAATTAGTCTGGTGCCAAATGGCCAGCCCTGAAAACATATATACCGATAACATTATATGGACTAAGCAGGTTATATTTACAAATATATATACATATGCATGTACTAATGTATATATACATATGCATATATGCATGTAATAGCAATTAATGATAAAAGAGGCTATGAATTTCAGGTAGAGCAGGAGAGTGTATGGGAGTGTTTGAAGGAAGGAAAGGAAAGGAAGAAATGCACTTATAATCTCAAAAAGAATTTAAAAACTACCCGCAGAACCAGGATACATAGCAGTTAAGATTTTGGAAATTTGAATGATCATTTAGGCTTAGTCCATAAAAATACTTCCTGTAGGTGGCATGCTCTAAGTATTGTGGTGACTGTGGGATAATAATAGTGATAAAGGGGTAGGGATGGTGCTGCTGGTGGTACCCCCGGTGATGGTGGTGATGCTCATGATGAGCAGGGGATGGTGATGGGTGATGATTATGTTGACAGTGGTGCTGATGGTGGTAACCATAGTGATAGTGATGGTAGTGATGATAGTATCGAGTGGGGCTGATCGAGGTGATGATTATGATTATAGTGATGCTGCTGACCATAGTGATGGTCAGGTAGTGCTGGTGATGTTAGTGTTCACTAAGAACTAGCACTAAGTCTATCACTGTTCTATGAACTTTATGGACTTTTAGGTTGCTGACAGTTTTCACTGTACCTCCATAACGCATTATCACTATTCTCATTCAGAAGGAAGGGAGTTGGTAAGAGTGACACGCAGCAAAAGATAAAGCAAGGATCAAGGTGCCAAATGAGAAAATGATATTATAACAAATAGTTAGGAGTTCCCCTTATACCACACTCTGTGAAGGTCTTCCATGCGCCATCTAGCAGTGTAATCTGTGCATTCTCTGAGGTGGATATCATTAATTATTTTTGTCGTTGTTGGTAATTTGTTAAGAAAAGTGCTACCGAGTGTCTGTCTGAGTTGCTCCTTCAGGTTCCACAGCCATTCTAGGAGCACAAGGAACATGTATGTGGAGAAAGTGACCACAGAGTTGAGTGTGCAGAGCTCCCTGGTCCCCTCCCTTACACCTTCCTTCTACCTTTCTCCCACACCTGCTCTTCACCAACACTCACTTCTTCTGTCTCACCTTCCTGGAAGACCTCACACTCTCTCTTTCCCTCAACCTGGACCTTCTGATCCACTTCTGACTGTGGTTACAGATCTAATCTAGAACCATCATCCACCCTTCTAGTGACATCTGCCATCCGTAACTACCTTCAGGTTCAGGAGTGATAAACCAGGCTCGGAGAACTCAATTCTGCCTTCCTCCCAGCCCTGTTCGCTTATGCTCCCTTAAGGGACCTGAAACTCAGCTGGACATTTTCACCAACAGTCTTCGAAGCTGGGCCTGCTTCTGCCCATGTCATCATGGTTGGCATGCAACCATATGATAGAAAATTTGAAGAGAGGAAGAAAGCACCGAAATATACTTGGATATTTGCAGTGAAGCTCTGGTGATATTTCTTGTGACCTAACTTGTCTTTTCTGTTTCCTTCCCAAGGGAAACCAAGGAGAACGTGGTGCAGAGGGAGAGGTGGGACAGAAAGGTGATCAGGTAAAGCCAATGTCTGTCATAAAGAAGCTTGTATTGTAAGAAAGGCCTCCCCCTCGGCGTGTCTGCCTGTTCCAACTTCCGTGCCTGCAGAGGAATGTCTGAATCTTGTTTTCCTGCTCTCTGTCGTGACCTCTATGCTGACTCTCATCCCGATCCATCTCCCAGTGGTCTGAGGAGCCTTCATCTTTCCATTTTCTCCCCTCACTCCCCATGATTGCTTCTCCCTCACCGAAGTGTTCCCATTCTCCAGTAAACAGCCCTTCATGCCTCCTCTATTTCTTGAGCCCTTCTTTTTACACTCATGGTACTATTTGAAATGCTCCATGGCGCTCCTTGAGCCCGTCATTGCCCGGTCAGGCTAGCTGGACCCCTCTCCTGATGCATGGGAGGATGACATCAATACTGAAGCCCTCTTCCTCCAATGGATCTGAAATACTGCTTCCCCACTGTCCCCAGGCAGTAGCGCTGGCTGATTCTGCACAGCCTTGCTCGGGCAGCTTTAGTGCTTCCTAAGTGACTTGTACATTGTCTCCACTGCCAACGTTTCCTCTTCTTTCTTGTTCCCACTCTACCTGCCCTCCCTTTCTGCTTTCAAACTGCTTTGCGTCTCACTCCAGTGCTTGTGGAAACTCATTCCGTGCCAGGCACTGCTCCAGAATCTGAGATACAAAACGAGCAAGGGTGAATCCTAACCTCAGGGCATATTGGTACAGGTGGGTGGAGGGCGAGCCATGAAGCCCATGATCCTCAAGCAGCCACATGAGACCTGTGTTTAAGGTTTCCTCCTCTGTATTTTGGAGAAGCAAAAGCATCTGGGTTATTGTACCTAGAATAGCATGTCAACAACAAACACTCTGTACATTGTACTAAGTGTTGCTTATGTTTTCCAGGGGCAGGTTTGGAGAGGTAGGAGAGAGAAAGAATTTCCTTGGTATTAGTTTGTATTTTTAGCATTGCTGTTCAAGACTGAATGTTAGATATAAATTCTAATGATAAAGAACGAGTGGCTCATTCTTTAACTCACAGGAAACTCCACATGTGAAAATAGATTATTTCTGTAATAGTAGTAATGTCAGAGCTAAATTATTCCAAGCTTGTTCTGTTAAAGAGATAAACACACACACACACACACACACACACACACACACACACACGAGAGAGAGAGAGAGAGAGAGAGAGAGAGAGAGAGAGAGAGAGAGAAAGCAAGCTATAGCTATGTCTTGATGGATAACAATAAAGTATTTCTCTTGAAAGCATGATGTATGGGTTTGATTACCCAGGGCTTATGTTAAAAATAAGCAAAAACAAATAAACAAACAAAGATGGTGTGGTGGCCTACAGTTGTTACTGACTGGTATAGACAGGTGATCCTTGGGGTTTGCTGGCCAGTCAGCTAAGCCTTCTTGGCAAATCTCAGGGAAGTGAGAACTCTGTATCAAAAACTTAGTGTGCATATCTGCAAGGTTGGGATTATAATGAAAAATAAAATTTCAGGTTCCATCTAGATAGAAGATGCAGTCCCTTTTATTTGACCCCTGAGGGACATTTCTGGGCATTGTTCATTGGTCTGTATATGCATGTTCACACATGTACATGAATGTGCTCTCTCTCTCTCTCTCTCTCTCTCTCTTTCTCTCTCACACACACACACACACACACACAACACTTTATATCCATGGCCTTGATAGCCATAGAATAAACCAAGCATGACTGCAAATGTATTATTATTCCTGAAATAATGTGACAATAACTGTTCCTTTAGTGTTCCATTGCAGTAAATATTACAGGTAGTCCAGATAGAGTTAAAAGCATATGAGCAGGTGTGAGCGACTCAGAGGTCATTTTGTATAAAGGACTTGAGCACCCCTGAATTCTGGTGCCTTGGGAAGATACCCTGGAACCAAGCCCTGTAGAAGTGGAAGCTCTGCAGTATTGCACATGCCCACGTTGTTTTCAGTTCTCCTTTGGGTGGGACACTGTATGCATATCTGGAAGGTTGGGAGTATAATAAAATGATTTTTCAGGTTCCATCTAGATCCAAGATACAGTCCCCTTTGTTTTTATCTACATCCTCAGCTACTTCCGTATGCCTTCCCCCCACCCCAGATGATTTGAAGTAAATCCTCTTTCAAGACATAGTCATTTTTACAAATATTGTGATGAACTTTTTGTTTTCAAGACAAGGTTTCTTTGTAGCTTTGGAACCTATCCTAGAAGTCACTCTGTAGACCAGGCTGGCCTTGAACTCACAGAAATCCACCGGTCTCTGCCTCCTGGGTGCTGGGATTAAAGGCATGTGCCATCACTGCCTGGCTGGATGAACTTATTTTAAACCTATAGAGTCACTAAGGTTACATGAAAAAGAGACCCTTCGTGTCAGAGTTTTCAGACTCTGGATTGGTTTCTAAAACTTGTTATTTGTTTTAAGTTGAAAAGTTTTTATGAGTCACTTTTGAATAATTATCTTCTGTGTATTCCTAGGGTCACCCTGGAGTTCCAGGATTCATGGGCCCACCAGGGAATCCTGGGCCACCAGTAAGTAGACTCTCTAATGATTTTTGTCTCATGACCTTAGCATTCAAGGCATGTGTCCATTCTCCATGGAGACTGCATCACACTGGACCTATCTTATTTTAAGGGATGAGATTGCCATTAAAACACCTAGGGATGACAAAGAAGTAATTGGGATGAATATTGAGGGATCTGAGTAGCCTTCAGAGACAGGCTACTCAGGGTGATTTTGGGCCTGAGGACTTCTGGCAAGGAACGATGAAGCCAGTATTTCAAGGTTATGATCTTGAGTAAATAACTCCTTTACATTGAACTTGAAGATGCCCATATAAGCCTAGATTCTCCCCATTGTTCTGGGATAATTACAAATTATTGTTCACTATTATTTCTTTAACCACTTATTGTTATTCTCAGACATTTTTGATAACTATAGTGTCTACTATTAATACCATTCAATTGTGCCTTTTAAGCAAATAATTTCCTTGCTCTTGTAGTGATTGCAGCCATGACATTGACACAGGGCCTCAGCATTTCTCTGTTCTTACAGATTAGTCATGTTGTTTTTCTGCGTGGATCCAACTGCAGTTGCAGCTCTTAGATTTATTGAAGGTAGCCATGACAACAGGCAGTGTCAATTACTGTCCCTGCTGAGCCCAGGACCCCAGAGATTTCCATGGATTCTTCATGAAACTCTTGCCTCTCAGACCTTGCAAACAAGGCCACTCTGAATGACTCAAAGCCTATTGAAAAGGAACCTGTGCCTAGCAGAAATCAGAATTTTTAAAATAAATTTTTAAAAAGATTGTCACTTTGGATAATAAAATCAAACTGGATTTGTTGTTTTATGCTATGTGTACACACGGTATTTGTGTGTGTGTTTGTGCAGGTGTGTATATGCATGCATGTACACACATATATATGTATCTCCATATATATGCATGGAGATACCTTTAGAATCCAGAAAGAGGGCATTGGAGCTCCTCAAACTGGAGTGACAGATAATTGTAAGATGTTATGTGGATGCTGGAAACCAAACCTATGTCCTTTGCAAGAGCAGGAAGTGCTCTTTACCATTGGACCATTGCCATTTCTTCTGTCCCTGCTTTGTCTTTTTAAATATCCTCTCACTGACTTCTAGTTTTGTTAATTGATTGAGAAAAATCAAATAAAAAATGTTTGTTTAATAAAATCATATAAGAGCATGAAACAGTAATTGGCCTTTCATAGTAAACCTCTGCATCAAGTTCATAATAAAAATCATTCATTTCAGAGAATGAAAAGTCCATTTTAAGTCCTTGATAGTAACCATTTGCCCTCTCCTAATATTTCTGATGGTAATGGCTTTTTTAATTCCCAAGTCTTAATTCCTGCCTGATCTTATTCTGCTATATGCTTTGTGGAGGAAATCATAAAGAGTCTGATTCACTTCTTGTCACTGAACGGCATAGAATTTCAAAAATTTTTAAGATTTATAATTTTACTTAGTAAATCATGTTGCAAAATATTTGCATGCTGTCCTAATAAGCTTCCTATTTCTGTGATAAAACACCATGATCAGAAGCAACCCAGGGATTTATTTGGATCACACATCACAGGTCAGATTCCATCACTGCAAGAAGTCAGCGCAGGAACTCAAGGCAGAAACTGAAGCAGAGACCATGGACGAACTCTGCTTACTGACTTATTCTCTATAGCTTGCTTAGACTGATTTCTTAAGCACCTAGGACCACCTTCCCAGGGGTGCTACTGCCCTCAGAGGACTGAGCCCTCTAATAACAATTATTAGTCAAGAAAATGTTCCACAGACATGCATATAATCCAGTCTGATGGAGACATTTGTGCCAAGTTGACAAAAAAAGAATGAAAGAAACACACGTGTTCACATGCACGAGTACACACACACACATACCCCAAAACCCCACCCGGCACACCTATTTTATTGTTAGATCCAAAAATCAGGCAAAGTAAATTTTGAAAAAGGTGGGACTCCAGTGGATACTGGGGACAGTCATTAGAATTAATCAAAGAGGAATATATGAGAGACAGGTGACTTTATTAAAAATCAGTTCATTAGTGAATAATTTCTTGTCATGGTAGTTTAACCTCCAAGTGCACTCCATCAGCTGAGGATCAGAGAGCAGGGACACAGCTTTAAGCCTTCGTCCCTTCACCCTGATAGTTCCAAATCTAGTACATGGCTCTAGTACCTTCCCACCAGAGATTGCTATAACTCAGTGCTCCTCGACAACCATAAAGCACAGGTCCTGGCTTTGGATACTCATGCTAAATGCTGAGTCCGAGACACAGAGGCCAGCACCATCAGACGCCAGTGGGTCTGTTTCCAGTTGAGCAATGCTTGCAGCTTATGTAAATGCTTACTGAGAGGCTGTCTCTTTTATGTCCTGCTTTGGGCTATTGTGCTGGAGCTTAGGTGATGAGTCAGCTCATAGGCTCAGTGGCTGGTCCCACAGGAGCAACTCAAGAGCAGAGAAGTCACCAGCCTGGCTATTTATTTATAAGTGCTTATTATTTGGCAGGATCTGTGTAGGGTTTTCCATGGTCTAGGCTCAAGTCCTCAGAGCTCTTCCAACATTGACTTTCTTCCCACAGCCAGTGTCCTCCCACCAGATAAAACCTTTACCACTTTCCTACTCTGCTTTTGAGTCCAACTTCACAAAGTCCAGGGTTCAGGGAAAGAAACTTTAGCAACCTTTGTGTAGAAAAATCAAGATTTGAGAAAGAAGCTACACGTAGCTTTGAACTAAATGTGTAGTTTCACCAATAACCTCATACTATTTGTTTAAATGTCACTGATTTACTTATAGTTTATGAATATTATTTGACTTTTTATCTAGCCTAAGAGATGTGGGCAATCAAACAGCATTCTGCCTCAAGAACTTGCAATCCAAAGAAAATCAGTCCTATTTACAACATCAACTTTCATTGATGTACAAGGCTATAATATGATTACTTCTCTGTTCCTATAACATGGCTAGCATCTAAAAAAAATATCACTTACTCCATACACATAAATCAATCAAATGTTGCTGAATAGTTATCAATGCAGTTCTGCAAGAAATGTTCATGTATGCTTCCATGACCAGTCCATATCTCCTGTAGGTCTGGTGCTTGGATGGAAGAAAGACATACGATATTAGATGGCCCTGTGTGCAAAGTCGTTGGGATGTTTTTGGTGATGGTTAATTCTTTATGTGCATTGCCCTTTTCAACCCACCCAACAACATCCAACATGGTGGTTGCTTGCTTTTTTTTGCATTCCACAAAGGAATTGGGATGTGGAGGGGTAACGTGACTTGCTCTGGGTTGCAGAGCTTCTCTGTGAAGAGGAAGGATTCTGAGTTTGAGGTTTGGTCTAAGTTAATCTCTTTATCCTGCACTAAATACCTCTTCTGACTCACTCAGACATCCCCCGTCTCCCTAAGATGAAGGTCGTTTCCTTACTTTCAGAGAGACAGAAGCTGAGCTGAGGTCACATACAGCTCCTGAACGCTAGCGAGAGGCAAATGCCTCAGCTCACTTAAAGATTACTCCCTTCATCCCCCAGTGCATTCTGCCCCCACTCCCATCTGATTATTCAAAAATATTGACTGAGTGTACTTCAGAAGCTTCTTCAGTTCCCAGGAAGAGAAGAAATCACACAGTTTGTATAGTAGGCGGGGTTGGAAAAGAGGACTGTAGACACTAAACAAATTTAAAGTCAACAAACACTGGGGTTATCAGACATTGGCATGTGCTACAGAAAACAAAAGCTACCAATGGAGGAAGATATTATTATGGTTTATGAGAGGCCAGTGCTTGAACTTCTCAGTCTTGCCAGTAGCAAATATCTTAGAAACTGATGCCTGAGTTGAGCCTGTGGGCATGGGGGCAAGGATGAAGGCAGAAGGAACAACACCCCCAAAAGCAGTGTGTAGACCCATGCCCGAGGTTCATCTGTAATGCCTACTCACTTTTCCGGAACCTTTCTTCTGTCTTTTTGAAAACGTGAAGATTTTTTGTTGACTTAGGGATGATTGTCTGGGCAGTGCTTTGCCCCTTCCTGAGATGTGGTTCTTCCCCGGCCTCATTTCAACTGCACATGATACTGCTCTTCTGCCTTGTCTTTGTAGGGAGCCGATGGAAATGCAGGCCCTGCAGGCCCACCAGGACTTCAAGGGTCCCCGGTAAGTTCTGTGGGAGACCGAATAACCATCCTTGTGTTGACCTTTAGGACTTTTTAGAGCCCCGTGTTTGCCAGCTCTGCTCCTGTCCTCTCCTGTGGTAAGCTTGCATATTCTTGAGGCTCTGTTCATTGCCATGGATTCTTGTAGGGAAAATGCATGACAGATTGCCTTCTGTTAGCTATCTCATTACTTTACCGCTAAAACGAATGTTTTGATGAGGTAGTCTGGTGACCTGTGATTCCCTAGTGGAAACAAGCTCTAAATGCATGTTCCATCTCACCTTGTCAGAGTAGTTTCTGTCCCGAGTGACCTTTGGTGAGCGGAGAGGCCCATCCTGTGCTGCGGTGTGCTCAGGTGTGTTCCAGGCCACAGCTCTGTTATCACAATTGTTCCAGAGGATGGTACAAGTCAGGAAAGAAGGTCATTGCTCAAGGTCCCCCAACCATAGCTGGTATCATTGGTGGTATCATTGAACTCAATGCCCTTTAATCTCAAAACCTAGAATTCTTTTCTTTCCATTAAGCTGCTAGAACCAAATCTGGATTCAGTGCCGTAAAGCAAAAACGGAAATACAGGTTTGGAGTCACTGTGCTTGTTGAGTCCATGCATGACATTTAAAGATACATCCACTATATCAATGTCCCTTATCCCTTCTGGCCTCTCTCCAGCCATTTCAGTCTTGTAATTTAGGGAAGTCTTTTAAGCCCAAGTTTCTGTCCCCAAATGAATTCATGGAGCAGGATTTCCAATGCAAATTACACGAGGGTCTTTAATTCATACTAAAGTTTGGACTACACTGCCACCACACCAATGCAGTGGGTATGGGAAGTACAGCCCTGAACCCGGGGAAGAGGCAAACTTTTAAAGGGGAAATGCCACAATCAGGGGAGTTCGAGTCCTGTCGTTTTGGGATTGGGTGAGAAGTACATAGGATAAGGCAGTTTCTGAAGCCATTGGTCAGTTTTTGGGCACAAAAACCTAACAAAGAGCCATAAATTACTGACAAGGTATCTTCAAGGACAGAATGCCTCCCAAGAACATCTGGCCCTCGTTAAATTTTATGGCCCTGCTCCCTCTCTTCTAATTGGCCATTTTTAGGGTATCTGTTCAGTTTCTGCTATGGCAGCACATTTCGGGAACTGAGATCACCCCCCACTCCCAGCTCATTATATGGCTTAAGATGAGGTCCCTTCTTTTAAATGGAGTTTGCCAAGTCAGGCCCTCACAAGTCTAGAACCGCTATACCCATTTTATGGATAAAGAAAGTGAGACTGGAGAAGCAGTCAACATTTAACAGACGAGTCAGAACTGGTTACCAGGAAGCTTGACAGCAAAGTCACAAAGAATGAGGTTGGGCTTCTACTCCTGTGTCCCTGGCAAGTACATGTACAGAAGGACCCTTGGGGTACAGTTAGCAACCCCACATCCTTCTTTGCCAGCATGGAAAAGCGGTGCCCAGTAGACAAAGGCATGCAGAAAATAAATGTCCAGCTTGGGACTTAAGTCAATTTGAAGACATCACTTTGGTGTTCTTTCTACTATTTCACACCAGCTCACCGCGGAGCGCTGAGCTTGAATAACCAGCAGCCCCATGGCCTTTCATATGATCATCCTTTGGTCAATCCGTTTGAAGCAACCAATGCATAAATCCCAGGATAGAAAGCACTGCAGGCAGCTTTTTATTGATTCTCAGACCATAAAAGATTTTCCCAATAAAACTAATGGACTGTTTGCCTGAGGAGAATAAGATACTGAGCCCAGCTGTAACATCATTGCATTACTTTGAATTAAACTCTATTAAATAAGACTTTGATTCTATCATGGGACCCCTTGGTAAGTTATGGGAGCAGTTGGGGCTGCCCACAGTCCTGATAGATTACTATAAATATTAAAGTGGGATATGGTCGAAGTTTTCTTAGGTGAAATGATGTTGGCTGGGTACTATGGATATACACAGTTCATACAATCCTAGGTATTATCACTACTTTGAATTAAAACATATGAGTGACCTGCCATTATTTTGATATGACGTGAAGAACATCAGTATGATGTTGAGTCCCCAGATGGCATCTCTTATAAACACTTTTATAAAACACAATGTCTAAATAGCCTCTCTTTGCTACCAGAAGTGGTTTGAGGGCATAACTCCTCTGAAGCAATGTGAGTGGAGAATTTTAGATTGTTGGGACTTTTCTTGATCTTTTACAGCTGTGTGATACCTATCACTTTACACAGCAAGGAATTTGTATTTTCACAGCCAAGACTTAATTTGAAAATAAAATCATTATTTCCTGCCTGATTTCAATTAGTTGCTTAATAAATATTTAACTGCGTTAATTCCACGAGCAAACTTAAGGGGAAATGTCCCATGTCATCTTGTTTGCATTCAGCTCGAAAGCGAGATCACAGAGACGCAGACTGGGCCAGGGTGTTCTGGAAGATCTGTGGGGCTGGCTCTGTGTGCTGGAATATATAACCAGAGGCTAGGTAGAGAGTGTTGTCTACTGTGTCTGTCTCCTGAACTCTTGGTCAAGTGACCTGCTTTGTAAATATTAGAGAAGTGTTTATGGTGGCTAGAGAGTCATGAGGCAGAGTCCTCTCTCAACTTGCCCCCTTCACCTGAGAATCAAGTGAATGATTTAGCTCGAGGCTTAGCAAACTTTACTCTGAAGAAACAAATAGAAACCCTTTCAGACTTTGTGAGACACTGTTCTCTGTTGTATCTACTGAGTTCAGGTAAGGCAGCATGAGCGTAGATAGTACACATGCTGGTAGGGAATGGATTTCCCCTAACAACACTTTGTTTACAATAACAGCCAGAGGACTGGACATTGCTGACCCTCTTCTGGGATCACTTTTTCCATTTGAAGGTTCCTGGTACAATGAACATCTAGAAAGTAGTCCAGAATGTGCCATTATCAGTACTTAAGATTCCCGTGTTAACTGAATGTTTGATAGAGTATATCCGGACTACTTGCATACATGGTGGTAGATTCTGTAATGGGGGAGGGATGATCGCTGTGGTTCACTGGATTGACTAATTTGCCTACATCTGAGAGGCAGTGTGTCCAGATCATGCATAATGCTGTAAAGACACCGCACAACCCCAAATCAAAATCAACTCAAAGGCATACCACATTCTCTGTATTATTTTAGAATTACAAGTAACTTCCCATGCATATGAAATATGTGAATATTTTGCCAAAGCTTTTAACAATGATAAAAATATAGCACGATCCTTTCTGTACCAAACTCAAGTGTCAGTAAACCATCGCTCTGTGTCGGAAGCATGCGTTGCTGCTGTCTTCTTCATGGCTGAGGTTTGGCTAAAACACAGTGATGCAGCTTATGTACGGTACAATTAGTGCTTGATAAAGGAACTGAGTTTTGGTCCCCTGATGGGGCCATTTTTTAAGATCTGCACTGAAATGTGGAATAAATACCCACATTTGCTTGTTTTCACTTACATTTTAAAGGTAAACTCAACCCTTTAGAACAGAGATTCTCAACCTATATGTCATGACCCTTTGGGGGTCTAGTATCCTGATGCCTAAGACCATCAGAAAGCAAATATATTTACATTAGAATTCAGAAAAGTACCCAAATTGCAAGTTATGAAGTAGCAAAGAAAATAATTTTATGACTGGGGTGACTATAGCATGAGGAATTGCGGAACAAGGTAACAGTATTAGGAAGGTTGAGAATTTAGACTGTGCCATTTTATATGATTAGAGGCATCAGAATCTTGCCTTGCAAAGGCACTGGTGGAGATCGGAAAGTCATCAAGAGCCCTACATACTCATGGCAGAGGTAGGGAGTGATGGGAAGCTGAGCCGTGTTTTCCGAGCAGAGGCCGAAGCCCTGAGGGCAGCTCTGGGCCTTCATGAACAAAAGGGGAAACAAAATGCCAATTGATGCAGCTCGGCCAAACAGACTCAAAACACCATGCGTCTTTCATGGAGGGGATAATGACTTGTCACTATTTCTGGTGAAAGGTTTGGGAATCTCCGGAGAAATACACAATGAAAATATTGAAAGCATGGGTCTTTCAGGCCTCCTGGCCAGCCTTCCACTTGTGCTGTTCTGTCGGTGCAGAACACAGCCCTAGGCTGTGCTGTGGGGAAGAACAAATCCTGGGTTGGATCTGGAGCCAAGTCTTGTGAACTCCAAATCTTTCACAGACGTCTGATGGTGGATTCCCCGAGTCTCTAGTGTAGAGTGGGTCTCTCTGTGCCAGTACTGTGTGAGCATGCTCTGTTGAAGGTGTCACAGCCCTTGAGGAGGGCATAGCCTGTGATGCCAGGAGGCTGCAGGTGCAACCTTAGCTTTTAACCAGCTCCTCCTAGTTCACGGAGCAGCCCCCTGTGAGATTTCTTTCCAGGACAGCCGGCAAAAGATTTCATGGTATTTTTATGTCTTGACTCTTTCAGGGCAAAGAAGGCCCTCCTGGTCCCCAAGGCCCATCGGGCATTCCAGGAATCCCAGTAAGTATCACTTTGAAGTCTGGTTTCTCATCAGAAAAGTTAGCAAGCACAGATACATTCCCAGCCAGGTGTGGGGTACACACCTATAGTCCCAGCACTAGGAAGGTGAGGCAGTGTGTAAGACAGTGTCTTAAAATTTTTCCCTCTTCCTCCCCAAAAGATTCATCATAATAGCATAAGGTGGCCACTAGTGGAACTTACGGTATTTTAGAAAATTAGGAGAAAAAATAATCTTGCACCTGGTTATTACAAAGGACATCTAAATTTGAATGAAACCTGTAAATGTCTAAATCTTCTTTTAGGCTAAAACTGAGTAGTTTCTTATTTAAATATTCCATTTTCTCTCTCCTTCTATAGTTACACAAACATATACATTCTTACATGTATCTCTACACACCCAGACACATAAATGTTTTTATTTACTGCACTGTTGTTACATATTTATAAAATTTTCATATCACATGTAATGGGTACTGCCTTATATGTGATGTTCTCCTGTGGTCTCATAAAACAATTCTTTCATTTAAAAGCATACAATGGGCAGCTTAACATGCAATCAGTTCTCCGATTCCTTTGGGATGACCCCTAGAGTGGAGTTTAATTGTTCTACTGTAATTATCGCTAAGGTTTTTGATACGTGCTACAAAATGCCCTCACACAAATGTTTGTTCTGAGCCTTGCAATTTAATACACAGCTCAGTAGTGTTGAGATCTCCAGCTTATACTAATTGTCTGTCTGCGGAGACCTTCTCTCATGTCCACAGCATCCCCTCCTGCTCCCCAGCATACATTCTTTTATTCCAGCCATATTTATAATCTTTTGGCTCCTCTTAGGACTCACTATAGTCTCTCCTGGCACAGTTGATCCTCTCCAAACCACAGGGACTTTGCATGTGCAGTTTTGTCTGCCAAGAATGTCCTCTGGTTACCCTTCTTCACTATTTGATGCTTCTCAACTCTCAGGTACTAGGAATGGTACAGGTACACTGACATATGCACTGAGCCACATTCTATACCTCATTTTTTGTCTTCTGTTTTCCTCCTCCTTGGATTTATTATGTATATATGTGTATAGCTTGTGTATATGATTGCAAGGCTGGCCATTTGGTATTGATAATCTGTCAGGGGCATCATCCTTAGGGAAGACGATCTCTCTCTCTTTCCTGGCATTCCTTAGGTTCCTGTAGTTCTTTGTCTAGTATGAGTACCCTGGCATTTCTTCCTTCCACATTAGTGTGTGCATTGGTGTCACTGGGTCCTGTTTAGACGCTGCTGTGCTGTTGTGTATCAGTGGTAAAGCTTTCCTTTCATTTCTAGGGGATATAATTTCACAGCAGACTTCCTGATTCTCTGACTGGTATAGTCTTTCTGCTCTTTCTTCCGTGATGTTCCTTGAGCTTTTAACTGCAGAGAAGATGGATCTATAATTTGGTTGATTTGAAGTTCACATGATAATGCTGGGAGCAGATACCAATGAAGCAAGCAGTGGGACAGCAGCCTGGACAGGCAATACATTCTGGTCATTGCTGCAGCATCCTCCTCCATGCCCAGGCACTACAGGCTAAGGGCACTAGTGGAGAAAACACAGACTTTCATAGGCAGCTGCCTGTAAGTGAGTCTGCCTCACTGGCCCGAGCCAGTGCTTGTCTGAGCATTGCAACTCACTGCAGGGTGCTTTTAGCATTTCTTCTAGGCTAAAAGCCACCATGAGACCAAGGTTCTATGCCTCAGAGGTGCAAGTCGTATTTAGTACTCACTTGACTGAATTCTTTTTTTTTCTCAGCTTTGCTACTGGCTTTTGAATTCAGTGGCCTGAGATTACACTCTCTTCTGTCTTACCTTTGCCATCTTCTGAGACCCTGAATGTGTACTTCAGGGTTGCAGAATTCTCATCTATAGATGGGACCAGCACTGGGGTAGAGAGACTAGAGAGAGATTCATAGCTTGGTTTTGTCGAGAGACGTGTAAAACATCACTGGACTTTCTAGAACCAAGCAATCTCGGCCCTCTTTCCCTGCACCCCATAATGTCTCAAGAGAAGTAGTATTTTGCTGTGTGATTTTTTTTCTTTCTCTCACCACCTACACCCTAGTCAACTTACTCATAGAAGAGGTCCACAGTAAGGAACAAAGTGGGGGCGTTGGGTGATAAATAAGAATCATGGTGCAATTGCAAAGGGGTCTGCTTCCCAGTGAGGTCAGATTCTGTCCGAGAAACCCTCATCTGGACTCCAGAAGTTGGGGAAGATGCCCGTGGGCCGCTAACTGAACATAAAGCCGCTGATGCACAAAGGGGCGCTCACAGTTGCCTCCGTGTCTGCTCTTCCTTCTCTCTAATCTTCCTTGACCTACTAAGTAGTTGAGTTTATCTTGCAGGGAGAAGAAGGCAAACAGGGCAGAGATGGAAAGCCAGGTCCCCCTGGAGAACCGGTAAGGGACTCTACACTTACCCGCCCGTCAAACCCACCCATTCTCACCAGCACCTCTGGGATGTTGACGGGCTCCAATGATCCTGACACTATCATGACCTATGTACCACTGTCCTTACTTCTCATAGTGCTACAAGGAAAACACTCTGCTTTGCAACTGAAATAAGAAACTATTTAGGTTGGGAAGTTAGCCAGCCTAAAGTCATACAATGGTCTGATGACAGCCCAGAATTTCTGAGTTCAGGTCTGCCGTCCTTCCATACTGTATTTTACTACCTGTGTAGCCTCAGCCCTGTGGCTATGGAAGGGAATTTGGGGCAAGTGAGCTATACTAGCTCCTGGTCTTGAGAGCTGCTCCCCAGCTTCATGTTTTAAATCTGGCCCACAGGCATTTGCTGTTGCTTGTATTTTTCTATAATGACACTCATTAGAACCCCCAGTGAGGTAGACAGATGCAGGACTCCTAAGGCTATCTTTGGTGGTCCCATAGCTGCATGAATTACCCATGACCTCAAAGTCCTTTCCTAAGGCTTGGGGACCTCTCTTGCCTGGATTCAGGGTCTTAAAATGATGATAACGGCTCCACAGTTTCTGACATTACTTCTGTCTTCACAAATCTAGAGCTGTGGTATGGTTCAGTGGAGTGTTCTCTGGTCATGCAGGGCCCTGGGTCCACTCCAGCACAGGGAAGCCATGCACCACCAAACAAAACAATATTCAAGCAAACCACGCACATGGTAGGGAAGATAAAGGGCTGCGGGAGAGAGAGGCCTGGCTTCTCCCCACGTCTGTCTGCTTACATAACAGGCGTGCATCTACTAGAACACTGGGCAGCTCTGAGAAGAGTGGAAGTTCCACCCGTGGAAGGACCGTTCTGCGTGAAGGGAACACGCGGGTGACTTTATACCCCATGGTGTTTTAGTTACTTTTCTTTAAAAGTGTTTTTTTTAATTGCATTTGCATATTGATCTGGGTATGTCTGTGCCGCGCACAGGCAAAGGTCTGAGACCAGCTTGCAGAAATCAGTTCTTTCCTTCTATCCTGTGAGTCCCAGAGATCTAACTTAGGTTGTCAGGCGTGGTGGCAAGTACCCTTACCTGTCAGACATCTCACTGGGACAATTTCTGTCTTTCAAATGAATTAAATAGACAGTTTAATTAACGAATAAATGTGTGTGCTCCTGCAATGGTTTATGTGTACAGTGACTGTGCAGTGCCAGAGGATGGGGCATAAGAGGGCATCAGACCCCCGGGAACTGGAGTTCCAGGCAGTTGTGAGCTGCCTGATGTGGCTGCTGCTAACAAAACTCTGATCTTTCAGAAGACCAGCAAGGGCTCTTAACAAAGAAGCCATCTCTCCAGTCCCTCTTTTAATATTTTAAAGCAATCTTTATGTGTTACTTATTGATAGAACTAAATGTAATATAAGAAATTAAATCATGTTGTGCCCAGTCCCAGCAACAAAGTGGCTCTAGATGCTAGCTGGCATTCTTCTTCGTAAGCTGTGTAACCCCTGGCGAGTCGAATAACCTCTCTGAGCTTCAGAATTCTTCAGTGAGATGGAGGGTGATATCCCAGCTTGCTAGAAGTTGGAGATCAAATGAGGTGAAAAATGCGCAGCGCACCAGGTTTTGCTAACTCTTAATTATTTTAGTGAGGTCCTCTTTGCGACTGCCCTGTTTTAACTGCTGGTGAGGTCAGAACTGTGGAGCCTTTGCAGCCGCTAAGTGGTATTACATAAAAGTTTTTCCTAGCAGAGCTCATGATCTGTTTAATTTGCTTGGCCGTAAACTGTTATGACTCAATCCAAATCTTACACAGCTTGCCTGAAGCACCCTCTTCATCATTTTATACCGTTTGTCGGTTGCAGCAGCCCAGGCTCACTGCTGAGGGGAAAAGAAAGAGCCTTCCCAGGGAGAACAAAGAGGGATGCTCTATGGAGTTGCCCAAAGAGGCAGATAGCAGACAGAGATGGAGGGATTGGGAAGGGGTGCATAAGGATTGAGAAGCATTCTTGGGACTACCCAGTGCTTGGAGCAGCAAGCCTTTCACTCCTTTTCCAATTTAAACCCCAGAAAAGCCCAGAGTTACATATGCTCTTTTTGTCCCCAGATGAGGAAACGGGATACACAGAGGCTAATAGTTGGACCAAGGTTCTCCAGCTGCTGAGTGAAGTCATGAAAATCGTGTCTCCGAGGCTGACACAGAACTCAGTGCTCAGATCTCAGAGCTAGGATCCACCTTTGTGCTGAATGAGCCTCGTCCCTAGAAGTTGTCCCTCTAGTGCAGGGTCTCTAGTCTTCATTCCATCAGTTTATTGAATGCCTGCTCCAGGGACTGCCATTGTGATACAATACCAGTCCTGTTCCAGGCAGTCACGGATCTCATGGGAGGTAGCCAGTTCTCGTGGACCGATAGTGGACAGATAGTGGGACTCTGAGACCCTGAGTTATGTATCCTTGAACTCTTCAGCTTGCTATGGAGTTTCACTACAGAGTCATCCTGATAGTCTGTTACCCTGAGCTGTGTTAGGAGGAAGTTGTCATTGGGTGGGTGGAGTCTGAGATCCCCTGAGATCTCGAGGTAGAGGCTCTCATGTCAGGAGAGTATCCTACAAAGTGGAGTCCATAGAGTAAGGGAACAAATGGACCATGGGGAGGAGAGGTCATAAAAGACGGGCTGGTGAGTAGTACTTCTAGAAACAGCTGATACCCAGGCTCCTGTGGGTCCCCTGAGAAGCTGCTGGGAGCACACCGAGACTATCTGCATATTACATTGCACTGGGTGCCCTTATGTCTAAGGGTGACAGTAGTTAGTTTCTCCACTTTGACCCATTCTCATGTGAGGGGCATGCATGGAGAAATAGATGGGCAGGTAAGAGGTAGATGATAGCCCAGTGGATGGAGGAACATTTCGGAGTATAGATAGCATTGTGTAGATAACAGATATGAAACCCTCTGAATTCTTTAACGTTTTAATAAGATATAGTTGAACATCTATTGTTGTTTAGGATGAAATACAGTTTCAGTTATCCTTTCAATTACAACCCTCGCTGTGTGTCCTTGAATAGATGACCTAACCTCCCTCTACCCCTGTGGTTTTCCTAAGAGTTATCTTCTGTTGGTTCTCAGTGAGGATCCATCGTCATTCCAGGCACACTTTAATTATGTCTGAGGCAGGGATAACTCTTCATTGATACTGGCTGCTTATCTGTTAGCAACTGAACTAGTAGTCACAATCATCTTGATGATGTGGCAAAGTCAAGACCTATAAGGGTGGACCATCTGAGAGTTAAAACTGCAGAAACAGATGCCTGAGGAAGTAACACCCAACACCACACAACTAGATTTGGATAAGTTGGGCCAGAAATCCACAAGAAACATGAAAATCCACAAGAACATGAAAGCCAGTCTTTTCTCCCTAGCATCTGTTTGATATTTCCCCTTAAATCTAAGAGTGGCTCATTCCCTTTCCTTTCTCTTGTAATATGAACCCCATGTAAGTCCTCAAAATTCACTCTGTGTCAAAACGAGGTGCAGAGTGTTCAGGGAGGGCCATTCTCAAGCTACCATGAAGAACGATCCAGAACTGGGTCAGCTGTCCATCAAACAGTGCCCTTTCACCTCTTCCTCTGCACATTCCCCCATACCTCTGAGCCATTGTCTGGACCTCAGCAGTATTTCTTCATGGCTTGGTTTTGTCTGGGGTTATGCCAAAGTGCAGGCAGTAATTCTGTATAGAAATGCCCTTGTATTCCTTTGTATCTGAGAGCATGGGGTGTGGAAAGGGCTGTGTAAATCAGATCACAGGCCCCTGTAAGTGGTGCCACTGGTGGCCCCAGCAGAACCTCTGCCTGTGTGACGGGAAGCGGAGGTTTTCTTTAGCTTTGTCCTTAGAAGTCTCATAAAATAAAACTGCTCTGATCTTCAATGTGGCTATCGGAAAAAAAAAATGTAATAGTTCATAGCTGCCTTGAAGTGGTTTTGTGAATCGAGTCAGTAATAACTAAAATGGTTTTGTAGTTTCTCATCAGGACAGAGCACTCTGACAGTGAAGGGACCCTTGAGTGGTTAATCGGGGATAAGGTTTACACTGTCATCACAGCAGAAGAGCTGGGAACACACCAGGCCTGAATGTACTGTAAAGGCTGGGCTACAGGAAATACATTAGGAATGCGGGGGCCAGGGCTGATCGCCTGCTTGACCAGTGGTATGTGGGAACGCAGTGGCGTGAAGGGCAGGCAGCCACACATCTGAAGATCATAAAGATGGGAGCCTGACTCTCTTCTTCCTCAATTCAGGGCAAGGCAGGAGAGCCAGGCCTGGCAGGAACAGAGGGAGCCAGAGGCCCGCAGGTAAGTGCCGGTCCCTGCTGTCCCCAGGAAAGTATGCAGGCCTTCTGAGTTCTTGAAGTCTGTCCAGCATGCTCGTGCTTGTGTGACCAGCTGTGCTTTCTCTGAAGGTCACTCTAGCTTATATCCCCTAGATTGTAAGCCATCTCAGGCTAGTTAGTGTTACTCTGAATAATTGCAGGGAAAGAGGATGTTTTGTTTGCTTGTGGATATTTGTTGTTTTGTTTTCATTTCTGTCGTTTCTGTATTTCTGTTTGCTTTGACTGTAGGGTTTTTTTAATTAATATTTTATTTATTTATTTATTTTACTTGCTTTTGAATCATGATTTCATGTAGATCAAGGTTGGTCTTGAACTCATGTCACGTCACTAAGGATGACCTTCAATTTCTGGCTTTGCTTCTCCCTTCTGCTTGCTGGGATTACACGCCACCATGCTGAGTTTTGCAATGTCAGGAATGGGGAGTCCAAGGCCTTGTTCATGCTTGCACTTTGCACCGGAAGTATATTTCCTGTCCCTTCCTGTAGCGCCCTTTCTAACCCTTTTTCCAGTTGTGTAAATCCAGCTAACCACACACTATAGTGATGGTGATACTGGAAAGAAAGGCACACATGGTGCTAAGAAGAAAATCATCTGCTTCTGATTCTGAAACAGAATAAAGGACAGTCAGCGTTTACTGTATTACCAAGTTTTTATTTCTCGAATAAATTATAGCTTCTCTATTTTGCCTTTTTAAATTGAAATTACATTTTTAAAAATACAGTAAATTCCATTCAGTTTCCCGTCCCCCAGCTTCTTTCAGACCCTTTTTGTCTCTCCACCCACCCAAATCTACGCCTTTTTTTTCCCCTCTCATTAGAAAACAAGCAGCTAAAAAGCCCCAAACAACAAGCCGGAATAGGGTAAAACCAAAGAGAGAGAGAGAGAGAGAGAGAGAGAGAGAATAAGAAACACCTGAAGATGCAGAGATACACATGGAAATTTCATAAAAACACAAAATCAGAAGACATAATATGTAAGAAAAGGACCTATAAGGTTTTTTATTTTATTTATTTATTTATTTATTTATTTATTTATTAATGCTCAGAAAGCATTGTGAGGGAAAAACCCCTCCAAACATCCCTGATTTTGCTGTATGTTGGTCATCTACTGCTGGGCCCGGCTCTCCTGAAATGTGGTGTCTATCCACTGAGACTCCGTTGGAGAAAACTAATTTTTTGTTTGAAAAAAAGGTTGCCAGCTGGAGATAGCTTTTGGGTTAGAGATGGGGGCTTGTGTTCACTTCCCATCTTAGCACTGCGCCTCCATCTGGCTTAGACCTCTGGAGGCCGTCTAGATGCTGCCGTGGTCTCTGTGAGCTGCTATGGGTATCAGCCCTGTTGTGTCTAGACGGCCTTGTCTCCCTGGAGGTGTCCATCCCGTCTGACTCTTACAGTCTTGCTGCTTCCTCTTCTACTATGTTCCTTGAGCCTGGTGGGGACTGAATGTGTCAAGGTCTCTTCCTCTCTGTGCATCTCTCTGTTTCCATCTGCAACAGGAGGGAGTTTCTCTGGTGGTGACTGAGCAAGACTCTGATGTATGAGCCTAACAGAATGTCATTTGAAATCATTGTATTGCTATGTTCCTTTAGCGGAACAGTGGTATTTGGTTTTCCCCTAGGTCTGTGTCCTACACAATCTCAGGTTCTTGGCCACCTGAGCAGTATTAGGCATGGGTTTGCTCTTACTTTTGTGCCAGCATACCATGCAGGCAGGATGCCATTGTAGGCAGAAGGGTTTGTAACCATTTTCTGCTCTGGTCACCACCAGAGGAGCACCTTCTAGTACCATGGACAGTGGGGGCAAAGGCTCTAAGCAGCCACTAGGTAATCTTCTCCATGTTCAATGAGTTGTGTAGGCTTCTTCAGAAGTAGGGCCTTATCATCAGTTTGTGGAGAGAAACCCATAGCCTTGGCAATAGCCTGGGATGTTTGGAGGGTGTCCATGGGGTCTCTTTGGCTAACAGTTCAATTTGATATAGCCCATTCTGCTACTGGAGATTTCATTCAGTGGTAAGAGACATCTACTTGGGGCTTTGTCTCCTCCATTATTTGGTGATTCCATTGAGATTTCTTACACATATATACAGTTTCACCCCTAGTGTGGCACTGGAAGGTGCTCTGCACACCACCAGAGGAGAAAGGTGGTTACAAACCTTCCGTCTATAGCGTCCTGCCTGCATGATATGCTGGTGCAAAAGTGGTCAAGAACCTGAGACCACACACACACACACACACACGTTTAAGAAGCATATATATACATATATATTATAACACGCATGTATATTTAAGAAGCATCTACTGTAGTAGGTTTCCATATGACCTCTCAAATGGCCCTGAGTTTTAGCTGTCCCTCCCCATATGCCCTTACTCATCCCCCTCCCTTTAATACTTCCATTTCAGTCCCATCAACTCCAGCCCATTAATTCATAATTATGTATTTATTCTGTTTTCCTTTTCTCAGGAGATCTTTCCCACTCCCTGGTTTCTTACTTTATGTCTAACATCTATGGTTATATGGGTTGTAGCTTTAAATCTACCTCTAATTAGTGCACTAAATACAGGTAATTTTCTATAATAATAAAAATGTTCTCTAGATTTTAATTTTTAAATGCTTTACCTCTTCATGCAGTTGATTTTTTAATATTTCTTAATTTAAAAAATGCTGTTTAATGAAACTCCTGAAATCCAATTATCTGCCGAGAAGTAACGGATTGAAACACCGCTTCTGTTCTCTTGCATTATTTTTCTTTTGAAAAATCAATAAATCCTCTGGCTACTATTCATTAAGAAGGAAACAAAACATGAAAATCAATGTTCATTTTCCCCAATATCCCTGTTTCTCCCTAGTGCAGCAGGAGGAACCCGGGTGTGGGGATGAAGGCTTTGGCCTATGCAGACTAAATCCATGAATCAGTGACTGGTTGTTTTTTCCAAAACATACTTTAAATTGATGATCCCCTTAAATCCTTTCTTAAGGCATCTTAAATATGGCCAACAGTTGCTGACTGTGGCTGGCAGTCTCTTCTTTAACTAAGTGGTTCTGGTGAGTAAAGGTCCAGTTTCATCAGGTGGCTCCTGGCTTAAGAATAAGAGGGATACCTTGTCAGCTGGAGAGATGCATTTGCTGCATCCTGACTTAGGAATTGGACCCTCTTCTCCCTGGGAATTTCAAGGCGGGGATGCAGTGTAGCAGGGATACAGTGTAGCAGGGATGCAGTGTAGCAGGGATGCAGTGTAACAGGGATGCAGTGTAGCAGGGATGCAGTGTAGAAGGGATGCAGTGTAGCAGGGATGCAGTGTAGAAGGGATGCAATGTAGATATGAACTGGTGTAAGAGGACAAGTTGCTCTGGTTGGCTTCACTCAGCCAGAGCAAAGCTCTGAAGGGTGGTGTGTGGGTTTGGAGAGAGATTTATCTGGGTCCTTCCCTTTGTCATTTATTGACCAAAAGTGTGCGGGGGAGGAGGCGCTTCTGGACCTGTTTCCTCTTCCATGTAACGGAGATAATAGTAGCAGTACCTGGCAGTGTGGAGCTCCCCTAGTTGGGGCTTTTGTCCTGGGTTTATGGAATGAGAGCAAGTTAGAGTCCCCTCTTGGAAGTCAGCTGGCCCTGGAATTCGGTCATTTAAAGAAGGTACCAGAACCTTGCTGAGTTCTGAGTTATTGAAGAGCTTTGCTCTACTCGTTCCAAGCAGCGTCTCTACAGACCTGGGTGTCATCCTCATGCTCTTGTGTGGAAACTGAATCCTAGCAGAGAGAAGTGAAACCCTTGAGTCCCACAGCGGCCAAGGAGAGCAGAGACCTGATGTGCCCCCAGCCCATGGTAAGCCCTGGCGCATCAGGTACAGAGGCCCAGGGAGCCTCTGCAGTTGGAAAGAGAGGACTAGGCATCACAATAATTCTATTATCTTACCCATAGTGATGTTAGGGATCCAGGGGCAAAACCCGTTCTGCTGCTGGCATGGCATAGAATAGTTGAAACTATGAATCTAAAACTTAGATGACTCCATCCCACTCTTCCTCATTTCCCTCTTTCTTCTTTCCTTGTCAATGACTACGGTGTCCTAACAGCTTCCTGTGTGGTTTCTAGACAGATTGTCATTGAGACCCAGTTATAAGCCCAGGTTTAGCTGAAGAAATTTTCATCCATTTAGACTGGGGTTCTCCGCTCACTGCCTCTACTGGTACTAGAGGGACCACATTCTGTTACCTACTCCTACTCTCCCATCCTCTAAAGGACAGAGAGACTACATTCTACTTAGCCATGGTAGGCGGAGATGTACAAGCCGCGTTTCTCAGTTGTGACCGTAATATCCGGTAGGGCTTTTTAAGATGAAGTTCTCCTTGAACGGCCTCACTCTAGAGCTTTCTGCTTTTTGGTTGTATTGTCATCTGCTCACACGTCATCAGGAGATGAAACCAGAGTGAATCCTGGTAGATGCAGCCAGGTGGTAATTTGATTCTCTGGGTTCGCTGTCCCCCTTGTGTTGAGAATGGCCATGGAAAGGTTTCCTCTATATCAGATCGGCATGTGTGTGAATCATGGTACCTCTTCACTGTCTGAGTGATACATAGAACTGAGCTTGGGTTTCTTTGTACAATGGTGAGAACAGAATCCATGTTTCAGGGCTTCAAGGCTAAGAAATGAGCACTTTTAATGCTTATAACACCACACAATGCAGGACCCCATAGAGAAGATTTTCCTCCCTGATTTTCTTCTACCCACGCCTGGCACCCTGACATGGGTGGCAAGCAAAAGGCCAAGCCACAACCAGAAGATGGGATGACTCAGGACGTCTTTGAAGCTCTCTGCCTTTCTGCTGCCCAGCCTATTCTTTGGTAGAGTCATAACTTCATCATGTTTCTTCCAGGGCTTCAAGGGACACACAGGTGATCCTGGCCCACCTGGTCTGAGGGTAAGTAGATGACTCTGAGCTGATACTCAGAGGGGAGAAAATTCCACAGTTTGCAGGGCATCACCTTGCTGTTCTATGTAGGAAAGAACAGTAGATGTGCTGGCCTGATATCATAGTGGGTAGCACCATCTCATCTCTTGGTTCGAATCTTGTCAGTGGTTCTTCTGGGCCCAACATTACATGCAGCCAAATTAGCCAAAGCAACCTGAGTTTAGGTTGCTTATATTGTGTGGGCTGCTCACATGTCCCCTAAGCCCTGTGAAGCAAGCCATGGTGTTAGGCTTCATTTACAGTGGAGCAAACTCAGGTCAGAGGTCATGGGTGACTTTCCCAGGTCATAGAGTGTGTATGTTAACACACAGGCCTTGCCTCAGGTGGGTAGCACCTTGAACCTTTTCTTATTCTCTAATAACTGCCTCTTCCAAATGCCCCAAACTTAAGGGAGTGTTGGATCATTAGTAGGATTCCTTGAATGTTGTGGATAACCATAACAGAAGCTGTAGAGAGAAGCAGGTAACAGGGGACTCAACAGGTTCAACCCATACAGTGCTCTTCCTGCCTTTCCTGTTGGGGAGGCACTTAGGGCTCCACTCACTCTCCTGGAATCCAGTTCTGCTGCTTCAGAGACTCATACTGTGTGTGGGGGGGGGAGGTCACTTCTGTCTGTCAACCTTCTGGGGCTTTGTATCTCTCCCACACATTTAGATACTATGTATTTATTTGTAGTGGCCTATATCTAAACCAGTCCTGTTCCTAACTGCAATTTTTTGTTTCTAGGGAGAACCTGGGACTATTGGCCCCCCTGGAAGGGAAGGATCTCCAGGAAAAGATGTAAGTTGGGATGCTTTGACCTTCAGTGCTTGAGAGAACACGGGAGGGACACCTAGGAACCCTTCCAAAGTGACAGGTGGCAGTTCTGTGAAGGACGTGGAATGACACATAATTGGTTTTCCTTAAGACTTGAGCTTCTTCCATCTTTGGGGTCAGCCTGTATCTCACAGTTCACAGAGGCTTTTCTGGGTTCATTTGATATGTCTAGTGTCAGATGGTGGACCCACTATATCTATCTTACATTATTTGAAAGGCCTTTAATGTTTTCCCACAAATTATTTCTCCATCTCTTGAGCTTTTTGGTGTTCCTAGTAAATATGAATCCCTCAAACTCTCTACCATCATTTGAGATCCACACTGTTGTCTTCACCTCCACCACCACCATTGCCACCACTGTGTTTGCCACCATTATCAACAACACTACGGCACCACATCCCCCATCATTACTACCATTACTGTGACTAATACCATCACCATTATCACCACCACTGCCATCAAACCATCACCAATTCTAGCACTTTGATCATCACTACCACCACCCTCACCAAAGCCACCGCCAGCCATCAGGAGCAGTAACAGTTCTTGCCTCTTGGGCTGTGTATTACTTTAGGCATCTCAGCTGTTTCTCACTTTTACTTGGTCTTGAAAGCAGGACAGAGAAGGTAGAGGTTTTCTCTGGAAGGCACAAATGAAAACGCTGTCATGAAGAGACTCAGAGGTACAAGGAGCCACTCTGGATCCACTATTTATAGCTCACCCTCTATGCCCATTCCCCAAGACTCGACTATCTTGTACATGGCATTTTATCACGTGACCTGACATTTGGGTATGGAGATTGATCTCCTAGGAGTGGGAAACTTGCTGGAAGCATGGAGACACAGTCCTGAGGTCCACGAATGGTCTCCTTCTAGATCTTTATACTGCTCCCTAGTGACCTATGTAGCATATAGACTTCTCTTGATTCTCTGGGTGCTGTAGCATATAGACTTCTCTTGTTTCTCTGGGTGCTGTAGCATATTGGCTGTTTGTTGGATCTCCTTAGAAGGATCTAGAAGGAATCATGTGGGAAAGTCAATCTAGCTCCTTTGTTTTTTTTTCCCCAACAATTTGTCCTACTTAGTTTTGTATTAGCTTGACACAGCTGGAGTCATCCAAGAGGAAGGAACCCCAGTTGAGAAAACGTCTCTCTAAGACTGGGCTGTTGACAAACCTATTGGTAATTTTCTTAATTTGTGACTGGTTGTGTGAGGGCCAAGTCCATTTTGGGTGGTGCTGCCCTTGGGCTGGTGGTCCTGACTTCTAGAAGAAAGCAGGGAGAGCAAGTCATAAGGAGCATACCAGCAGCCAGGACTTCTTAATGGCCTCTGCATCAATTTTACCTTGACTGCTTGACTGCCTAGGATGATGAACTGTGATAAGGAAGAGTCAGAGAAACTCTTTTCTCTCTGGATTTTTTTTTTTTTGTGATGGTATTTCACCGTACAGTAATGGCGAATCAGTCCCACACCAGTTATGTTTTAAAGGGGTATTTATTTTGAGGGGTAAACTTACATGCACATAAACCATCAGGAAAGGAACCTAGTCGCTGGAACAGGAGCCGGAACCAAGCGCCGGAACCAAGAGGCTGAGCCGAGGCTTGCCGCTCTTCTTTTAAAGAGAAATATACCACGCCCCAGTGGGCTGGTATTTCAGCAGCTATTGGCTGATGGAGAGGAAGGCGCTCCCGCAGCACTGTGGGCTCGTGCTTCAGCGACTATTGGCCGAAGCAGCGGAAGGTACTCCCGCAGCAATACAGCAATGGTGAACCTAAGACATACTTATAAAACCAGTTTAGTAGGTGGGGCCTGTGAGGCTTCCCTAGACGCTGTGTGGGGTGGTGCTGATGGGTGGCAGACTGTGGTTTCATACTGTGGTGACTTGGGCACAAATGGTTCTAGGTTATTATCTAGTGAATTTGCCATTTTTGACTTTTCTTGGTTTGCGATCTGACTGCCTTAAATGACCAGAGAAACAGGTGACCTCTGTCTACATCAGTAAATAAACTTACTCATTTACAAATGTGAATTGAAAAGCATCCTTCATCTGAATGAAAAAAAATGGTGCATGTTTGAAGTTCTTGGCATTCAAAAGGAAGTGTTTGGATACAATGCTGGGTTCCTGTGTCTGTTGGTGAAATCTGGTCCAAATTAGACCTTTGCCAGCTGATGTGTAACTCTGTGATTGTATGATTCCTCTCTGTTCCAGGGTGACACTGGACCTGCAGGACCACAGGGTCCCAGAGGACCAAGGGGCCCACCGGTGAGTTTTCTTTGACATTAACTTGCTTCACAGCTCAACCAAGCTATTACCATGATGATGTTTGGTGTTTTACCTTGGTATAGATGCATGCTTTGCTTTAAAATGATGTTCTGTGTCTTAGAGGATGCTAATCAACCACTGACTGCCCTTTGTCCCAAGAACCTTCCTACATGTCCCCCAAGACAACTCACTGACAGTCTTCCCACAGGGATTCCAAGAGCGGTTATACTTCCAGTTTGGGGCTATTATATAGTTTTATGTGCCACACTTGAGTTTCCTATAAGTACCCCAGCTGGTAGTTTCTATAGAGACATTTGCCTTTGTTTCTGGAGGCCAGAGAGGAAAATTTAGGTACCAGCTATGAGGGAGAGCATACCTGCATCTTTAGCTTCTTAGGGTGCCAGCATCCATGTGAGGGGACCAATAGGCAGCATTGGAGCTCAGTGAACACACTGTGTGGTTGGGAAAGCTACACTTGAGTAAGCCTTGGAAGGCAAAGCCATGAGGACTATGTGTCCTGAGGAACTCATGTTGTTATTGAACATAGTTCTGATTGCTGCCTTCATGGCCACCACATTTCTCATAGTCTGTGGGTTGTATGAAAACTCTCAGGGGTTTCCTAGCCTCTCGCTGGGGGAGTTACTGGTACTGACAATGATAGTAATTGACTTTTTCCAACCATTGCTGCTGTAGCAGATGAATGATTCAACCACCACCCTTAGAAAGAATTCAGATGTAGAGTTGTTAGTAAGGTCAGGTTAATATGTTTTCGTTAATGGCCTTGAAGTGGAAAGTCTTCAGGAACAATTTAAAGTTTATTAAGACACACTTTTAATCGTTGAACAAGGGACTTGTTGAGGTCAGGGAACAGGAACAATAGCAGCCTGGCTATTGCTGGCTGATGTACCTTTCTTGCTAAGATGGGTTGATGATCAAAGGTGATGATTAATTCCTCATACCTATTTTTGCCCTCAGCTTCCTGATAAATATATACTCTTGTTGGGTGGGTGTAACCTAAGGATTTAAAGTAGGACTGACTTTTTCATAAATAAAAGTTTAGATTTGTGATTTTTTTTAAAAAAACTTTTTTGTTAGATTACGTTTTAAGATAAATAATAAAATGATTTGTCCTTTCTTTGAAACCAGAAAATGCAGCCTACCAGTAAGGGAACTGACTTAGAAAAATACCTTGCTTACTTCCACATCCTTAATCTATATAACAAGTTGCTTGGGTATGAATATATGTGGGTTCTTGGGACACTGTGTTTTTCATCTGTAATATGTGAAATGTTTAATCGTAAAAGGGATATATAAAACATTGTATTCATTGTAATCATTCACTTGAAAAACAGAATATAACCACATTGTAGCTTTCCTACTGCTTGAAAGATGTTTTGTCTGGGGTATATAAGCTGTAAGGGAAAAATAAAGTTAGCTAGAAGAGAAAATTAAGAATGAACAGATGGGAAAAACAGTAGAAGAACAGAACAGAAAAAGAATACAGTAGAACAAGTAACAGGAAGAATAAGAAAATAGAAAGTCCTCGTGTGTCTGTTTGTCTGTCCAGTAGCTTGCCTGCTCTGCATCTCCTCTTCAGTGTCTCTGATCTGCTAAAGGCTTGCCATTCATCAGCACCCTAGGAGAGATTCTGACATGTTGGAGATGTGTGTGTGTGTGTGTGTGTGTGTGTTTTCCCTTTTTTTTGCCACCCCTAGAGAGTTAAGTTTTGACACCCTTGCTGGCCCCAGAGAATTAAGTTTTGCTCCCTCAGATAGAAAAGTCAAGTTGATTGATTAGTTCACTGTGTCTCTGGATTTCCTTCAATATCTGACCTGCTGAAGGCTGGTCCTCACAGCAGCAATATTAGGGTTGACTGACTATAATAACAATCCTTGGCCTAGAGAGGTATCACTCCATCTATGCTTCTGTCTTCATGGAATATTCCTCCTGTATATATGATGTATTTGTGTGTGCATGTGCTCTTGCATGTGTCCCAAATTCCCCTTATGTTCAGGCATTAGTCCTATTGAATTAAGGGTCTAACCTACTATTCCCATAAGCTGACATAACTGATTACATCTTTGATGATTCTGTTAACAAATTCAAATTCCAGGGACCTAGGCACTAATATTTCAATATGTGAATTTAACCTAATAGCCCACATGTTGGTAGATATTTGGGGTTTTATTCATTCCCATTATACACCTAGGCAAATCCATAGAGTGTGAGCAAAGATAGGAAGTAGATGGATATTCAGTGCTATGTACAAAGGAAAGCCTGGGAGACCCACGAGAGGCAGCCGTGCATGTAACTTAGCACACTATGAACAGTAAACTTTGCTTCTAGTAAATAAAAGTGCACTCTAAAACAAAGATTGAAAGTGTGTCATTTCAAACACATGAACCAGTGCAGCGATTGGTGGCCATTGGCAAGTGTGGCATTCCGTGGATCATTTCAGCTTGTGGCATTTTTATACCTGTTGCTGTCATTTGCCCAGTGCCATTGCTAATGTGTCTGTCATGTGCCATGCTGTGACAGTGGGATGGCTAGGAGATTACTAAGAAATGTGAACTTTTCAGCTCCACTGCATGCTTCAGGGGTCACTGTTGGGCACAACATGTGTCAATGGTGTTTGAGTACCCTCTCTTCCATATGATCATATTTGGAGATCAATTTTTTTCATGTTGTGGTAATTATATATGTGTATATAACCCCCAAACTTCCATTTTGCTTTTTAAAAAATCTACAGTCATACAGGGATGGGTAAAAACTCATGTGATTGCTGTCTCACCGCCACCGGCTTCAGAGAAATATGGGGTGTTCATTGCACAAAGCACAGATGTCATTCATTTGGTTTCCTCCCAAGACTTCCGAGTTATGAAACCATGGTATGAATCTGCCTGTGCAAGGACAAGGGGTGAAGATGCAGAGATGCTCATAGTTTGCCCAATATCATATATTTCGCCGGTAGTTGATGCCGGTCTTTGGACTCAAGCGGTCTGGTCCAAGAGTCTGAAGTTTAAGACCCTACCTTAACTGTCTGTGGACTCAATTGTCTTGACAGAAAGGTTGTCCTGGAGGAAGGGGCTTGAAGAGAACTTTGGAGAACAGAAGCTTGGGAAGGGGACTACATCCTCCATTCATGGGCAGCATAGTGGCCAGAGGGACTAGAGGATGGTAAATAGATAAATGATGGAGTGATAGATCGATAGATCGATAGTTAGATAGATAGATAGATAGATAGAGTAGTTTTGTGCCTCAGAGAGGACCTAGTCCTAACATCAAAACACCAAAGTTCACAGGGAACAGGTGGCCACCAAAACTAGCATTGGCACCATGTGCTGTTGTCTGGTGGCCCTCCTCCTCCCTCAGAGGCAAAGGAGGACTAGAGCAAGAAGCAGGAGAGATATCATTTCCATAGGGATGAGCCAAAGTACATATTTTTAGAGAGACACAGATGGGTTGGTGGGTGGAGGGAGTATAGGGAGGGGCAGCAGGCAGCACTCACTAGAAGGTCTGAGTGTGCCTGCCAATCAGAAAGAATGCTCAGGGCTTCCATTTTTGTACTCACTAGCTGAGATCCCGGGCAGAGCTTGGACTTCCTCTATGTCTTGATTTCCTCGTGATCTAAGGTTAGCTATGCTACATGGTTTCTGGGTGCATCTGATGCGATGAGGTGCTTGAATACCCGTGGTCCCATGGACACATTTTAGGCAAAAGACAGAGACTGTGTTTCTGGTTACTGACCTGCAGACACATGCTTAACGAGGGCGGTACAATATGGGATGGCCAGTACCGACTATGCTCAGAACTCAGCTTTTCCACTTCCCTCTGGGGTGTTTCCCCACATGTAAAACGGCAATGACATTTGCATTTGGTATGAAAAATGAATGATTTATAAGAGGGTGTGTAATGTAAGAGATTCCTGGCCAGGGTCAGCTGAAGGTTGTGGATTCTATCAAGTTTTGGGGATGTTAACACCTTCATGAATACACAGTTCACAGTTACAGGACTTTATCCAAATCTTTCATTTTCGGGATTAACACTGTGGATATCTGTGATGCTGTCAGTCTTCCCCTTAAACAGAGAACCCTAGTGTGTGTCACTCACTACGTGCTGGAGATATAAGAGCCACAAGTCACAGACTCAGGACAGGGATGTGAGCCGAGTACAGCAAGAGCGTCCCATGGGAAGTCTGGTGGGCAGGAGGAGTTGAGCTGTGCATTTTAGGCATTAGGCATTTATTTGGGAGTGAGACAGGGTGGGTATCTAGGAGACTTTTTCAGCTTCCTGATATTTACTCTATAATGGATTGTTGTGTGTGCGTTAACTTTGACAAATGGTCTCAGATAACTAAAACTGACTTCTAACTCATGGTGTAACTGAGAATGACTTTGAATTCCTGAAACCCACCCACAACTACCCTCAGAACAGCTGGGATTACAGGTGAATGCCACTGTGAGAAATCTTATTAAGAAGTATTCTCTAAAACTATAAATATGCTCAAAATGACTGTCAAGTTAGAGAATGCTAGATTGAAGACCATCAGTTCTAGAACCTGTGATCCTTTTAATCCCTAACTGCATGACAAAACAAGTCAGTGTGTACCCTCGCCCCCTGTATCTTTGTGCTTTAATGCGTTCATTGCATTTGTGAAAATGCCCTAGGGGAGGGGGCTTGCAATGAGAAGAGCAGGCAGAGCTGCTTCCTCAGGCACGCCTTACGATGGAAGCAGCTATTCCTGAGCTGAGTTGCATTACATGCTTGCCTTGTTCATAGCCCAGCCTGCGAGTTGAAAGATGAACGGAAGGGTGAATGAATGAAGCTGGTCCTGCTCATTTACTGTGCCGTGCAGTGGGCACCAGTCAGTGAGCTAGGCCTTTTCGTGCCCACGGACTCATTTAATTCCACAATCACGCTATGAATTAAATATCATGGCTTCCTTTTGCACGTTGAAAGACATCCTCTGCAAAATGAAGTGGTTTTCAGAGAGCCCTGCCAGCCCGAGTGAGAACAGCCTGTGTAATTAAGTCGTCCACCTGCAGTCAAGTTGGCTCCAGTGCCCTGCTTGGTGGTGTTCTGACACGGAGAACTGGCAGAATAAACGTTTCTGTTTCTCCCACCAGGGTAGCAGCGGATCACCTGGAGCCCCAGGAGACCCCGGCCGTCCAGGAGCCCCAGTGAGTGCTCATGCCCAGCTTCGTCATGGTGTTAGGCCAAGGGTCTCATAATACCTGTTTGTTCTCTAGACCTGAACACACTGGAGAATGAATCCTCATTTAAATGCTACAAATAATCCCAAAGCCAGAGAATCAGGCTATCTTGCTCTTTAAAAGTTTACCGTGCATTTGACTACGTGGCTCAGTCTCTGCTGTCTAAAAACGTGAACACCTCCAACTATTCAGTGTAGAAATTGTGTGGCAAGCTTTCACAGTGAGTGTTTAATGATTGAAATAAAGGGCAGGGTCACATGCAACCTTGAGCAAGTCAGGTAACAAAGTGATGTGCAGCCTAGGAACAGGGATGGGAAGCATGGGTAGAGAGCAAGAAAGTTCAGTGGGAGGTGGTGGAAAGACTGTGGCAGGTAGACTCCTGGGCACCCGATTAGATTCTGGACTTGAGGTTCATGCGAGGTCAGTGGGGAGACATACTGCGGTTCTTTAATGGATTGTAGGCTTCAATACGTTCAAGTCTGGGTATGAATTTTCTTTTTGCCAGGCCTGCTTATATTTTTATTTGCTTGGATTGAGATCTATTCAGGAGCTACTTGTGCAGTATAAAAGGTCATTTATAAATTGGTCAGGACAGTGTGCTAGCCAGTGCTTTCCAGATAATTGCTAGGGCTGTAGAAGTTGGGTGACCAGAGACCCACAAAATCTCAGGATGTTGAGTCACAGCACTTAGTCACCCTGCTGGTCCAGGGACAACTACAACTGTGGGTCTGTTATGGCAGTTCCAGTCATTTTTACCAGGAGCTTCAATGTAGGCTCTGTTAGAACTACTGAGTCAGAGTAGATATGACAGGGGAGCATCCTGAGGGTGGGTCCACCCAGGGGAGGAGCTAGCCCCAGAGAAGATGACCCATTCATAGGCACTTTGGGAAAAAGTTAAAGCATTAGACTGCAAAGGCCGCAACTATCACACCTCAAGCCTTAGAAGCATCACGGGAAGCAGTTCCCACTTCAAAGAGGCTGCCCACATCTAGATCTTGGTGTTGTTTCTAAGAATCCATCCATAAGATGTCACGGCGTGAATGGAAAGGCTATCCTCTGGAGTCTTTTTCCCTCATCCTCTCTTCCTTCCCTGGCCCTCTGTGATGATATCAAGTTTCACAGATCCCATATCTCTTGCTGACACATCCTCTCTCCAATGCAAGGAAGGGACAGGGGTGTCAGGACTCCACAGATTGGGATGTCGTCAAGTTTCTGAATCTGATGGACTTTTGCTTGACCTTGAATAATTAACCCCTTGTTTTTCCTTCACAGGGCCAGAAAGGAAACAAAGGAGAAAATGGCAGCCCAGGACTTCCAGGTTTTCTGGGTCCCCGTGGGCCTCCGGTAAGGAGAGACCCTAATGGTGCCGAGATTTCTGGTTCTAGATGTGACCTTGAGTTTCACTACTGTCCCTGCCACTCAAGTCTTTTTTCCACCCCCTTACCTCCCTCCCAGCTCAACCTCCATCCTCTCCTCCCAACCGGTAAGGGCTCCCATGGGAGGAGTCAGAGGCAGGACCAAGCCCTTCCCTGCTGCATTAAGGCTAAGCATGGCATCCCACCATAGGCAGTGGACTTCACCAAGCTAGTTCATACAACAGGGATAGATAGATCCTGGTCCTACTGTCAGGGTCCCCTTAGATAGACCAAACTACACAACTGTCTCCCACATATGGAGGGCTTAGTTCAATACCACGGAGGCTCTCCAGCTGTTGGTCTGAGTTCACGAGTTTCTACTTGCTTGGTTCAGCTGTCTCTGTAGATTTCTCCATCCCCTTCTTCACCTCCCTTGCTCATATATTCCCTCCTTCCCCTCTTCAATTGGATTCCCAGAGTTTGGTCTGGCACTTGGTTGTGGATCTCTGCATCTGGTTCCATCCGTTACTGGATGAAGACTCTATGATGATGGGGTTAGGGTTAGAGTTATAGTTGGGTATTCACCAATTTGATTACAGGGGAAGGTCGTCAGCTCATGTCTTACGGGCCATTTTTTTTTTTATGTCGTGATGAGGTTGTGTGGGGTCAGAGTGCCTCATGATTTAGTAGACAGTCGAAGGCTCATAATTGATAGTTGCATGGAACCCAGTGCTTTCCTCATGAGACCTTAGGAAAATGGTATAAAATCTCATTATGTGGCTACTGCCTTAATCTAACGGTGTGACAGCATCACTCATCAAATGTGAGAATCCACATAAGGGATTGCAGTAATGTCCAACCCATTGTAGTGATCAATAAGTCAGGTGATCGTGATGGCATTTGTTGGTGTGTGTGATAGATGGTGCTGGCAGTGATGACCCTGGAACTTGAAGGATGATTTTAATGATTGTAAAGTTGGACAAGTTTGGGTCACAGGGTCAGAACATATAGGTGATTGATTCAAGGTCGCAGTATAGATTTGTACCTACCTGGAGCTTTAGTCTGGCTCCCCTGACTTCACCTCGGAGTGTATATTGGAGCTATTAAAGGGTGGTGAGAACCCATTCCTAGCCACACTGAAGTCATTGGAGTGTTCTGCAGACCCTGGCCTGCACTGATGGTTGGAGAATGGCCGTATGTGACACCTCAAGATGAAAATGCTCCTTTAGTCCTACGTGCACCCTCCAGTGGGATTCTGCCCTTTTCATGCCACCACAGAGCCAGTAGGATCATCCTTTTCTCATGGTATCCTGCCTGCTATTTTCCACTTCTGCCCCAATATGTATATGGTTTCTCTAGTCCCATGCATTTACTCAATTGTTCCCTTTACCAGTCCTTGTTCATAAGTTGGCTGCCACTCAGCAGACAAGTGTGTACTTTGTTTGGTAAAAATTCCTCCTTACTCTTAAAAAACAGATTCAACTACCCAGCTCTATTATATGTTAGTCATTGTACTTAACGTATCTCAGTGAAAATAAGTATCATTGTAACCTACGACATAGATAAAAATGACTCCTCTTAATTTATAGATGAAAAAAACTGAGGCACAATGAACTTAAGAGATTGGCAAGGAGGCAGTATAAGGTCAGAAAGCCAATCAATAGAGGAATCAGTTTGAAGTTAGAATCCACCGCCTTATTTAGCACGTTGTCCCCTGATGATGAGTGGCCGCCCTCACACTAGACAACTAGTAAAACTGTCTTCTGAAAAACCTGCGTAGTAGAGACATGTTGACCCCACTGACAATGATCTCATAAGCAGAGGTTTATTCCCATGCTGGGCTGTTCTCTACCTTCTTCTGCATAAACTGGCCAGAAGGCCACATGTGGGATGCCCTTGTCTGGTAGGCTATGTGGACTGATTGCTGTCTTCACTGGAGCGTGTGTGTGAGATGTCTGCCATGAAGATTGACATCTAGTGGTCTGATGCTGCTGAGCCCACTGATCCCCATGTTCTTTTTATTTTATTTGTTTAAACAGGGAGAAGCAGGAGAGATAGGCGCTCCAGGCAAAGAGGCAAGTATTACCCAATCCTGCCCGTTCTACTTGATAGCCCTTTCCTGTGGGAACCACAGATGGGCGATAAGGCTGAGAAGTGAGTTCTGAACTTATCCAACCTCCTCTACCAGCTTCAGTGTGCTTTTCATACTGGGGGCTTACATTTTAACTTCACAAAATCTTACACGTTAGGCAACCACTAGGGGCACCAGGAAGATGACTATATCTCCTTAGCCACCCTCCTTCGGGAGCGTTGTCAGCAAAGCCTTCCGTCTTCGCCTTTGTGATGCTTTTTAATTCTGTCCATCACTTATGAGTGGAACCTGCCCAGTCCTGAGTCCTTTTTGACAAGGACCCTTGCTGTAGGCTCCCTAATGGCTTCCTTTGTCCATCCATGACCTTTTCCAACAGCTGGAGATCTGTGGGACATCAACATTTCATGCCACTTTACAGCCCAAATGGCAGCTGTGTTCTCCCGCTTGCCATGCAAATGACTCCCAAGATGCCCGGCCCCTTCTCCATTTTTCTTCCTCCTGTAGCTCCACCCACACGGGTCTCTTCCTGAACTACTAAATTAGTTTTCAGGGCCCTTTCTTCTTTCAAAATGCCTTCATCTCCTGTCCCCTTTCCTTCTTCTGTGGACCTCTATGGGCCACTGGAGAGAAGCCTTTGTTGACCTGTTCTGCTGGTCATCTGCTCTGTTTCGTTCCAGCACATGAAGCGAACACGGAGAAGATGCTAAGAGTGGTCAATGACGAATGACTAGATGAATGAAGTAGAGAAAAAAAAACTTCCAGGGAAATCGCTCATGTGTATATTAAAGCCAGCACTCTTGCCTTGAAAGAGAGAGAACACCCTTGTCACTGTATGTCACTTCTAAGTGATTGCCTTCCTTGAGGCCGGATCAAATGTTCAAAGTCTGAGAACCTTGTGCTTTTAGCCCAGACATAGTTTGTCGCTCACTAGACCTGCTCCTCACTTGTTGACCTAACCTGACCCACATTCTCTTTCAGATGTGACCTCCTCGTTTTGGGTAGGCTACATCCAAGGGCCCTTACTCCCTCTACCTCTGAGGCTTAGCTTTCACTCCTACCCTTTTTCCTCATATAATCCCTATTAGATTTTCTCTGAACTTCCAGCTTCGTGCTGCCCAGCATCCAGGGTCATGGTTTTTGTTTTTCTCTCCTGGAATTACTGTGGGACTGTCTTGTGATTCTATTACAGAAAGAAAACCTGTCTACCGAGTATTAGAATTGGGATACCCATATCTACTTCCAACCTAGGCTATGAGCACCCTGAGAAAAAGGACTATGTCCCTATGCCATTCTTCTTTGGGCATGGAGCTTATAATATTACTTCAGGAAGTAGGGCAGTAGGCACTTCTGGAGTTAGGTGACAGAGTTGGTCAGGCAGTACATGCCCTTAACTCCTAAGTCGTCACTTCAGACCATGCATGCATTCTGAATGTATACGATGTCTACCAGCTATGTCAGGCTAGGCCGTACTAATTGCTGCAGTGGTAAACCTTGGGGTTGGCTTATTTTGAATATCTACAAGTGCAGGGATAGGAATATGATGCCCCCATTTGATAAATAAGTATAGACCCTGATTGCCAAACTATTACCGCTTAAGGATAAGCAACCAAGCATGTCCGTGTTCCCACATCTGGGAAGAAGTCAGGTGGCAGCTAGAAGGAAGGTGATTTCCGTCTGAGGATAGATGTTGGTCAGAGAAGAGAGAAAAGGGAAGGAAGGATGGAAGGGAAGAAAATAGGAAGGAAGAAATACAGAGAGGGAAGGCAGGAAGGAGGGAGGGAAATGATGTTTCATATACCGGGTGAGAAGAGAGAGATTCCTAAATAGGAAGTCTAAGGCCAGGCGAGGTCATTTGGGGTGAAGGGCCCAGGGGAAGATGGCAGGCAGAGGTTGTGAGACTGCAGAGTCTCAGGTTCTCTGCTTTGGGAACCTAAGGTTGCAATATTTGGCTGTAGAGGAGTGAATCAGAACATCAGAGGTGTTGTGAACTCATCCAAAAGCCAGTTTGTGGACGTCCCCAAAGGTGTTCCAAGGGGAGTTGAGTTTTTCTCTAAGGAAGAAGAAATCAAAGAAGCCACACAATTGGCTCATGTTGTCCCAGCTCAACAATGAACAGGGTCAGGAGTAATGGAACAAAGACAGAGTGGCTTGATTGCATTTCTAGACAGACCTGGTTTTTCTCCAACACCCCCTTTCCCCAACAAGTACTGTATAAAAGAATCAAGAAAGTCAAAGACAGAGGCACAGATGGCCGTGGTGAAGTGACTAGTCTCCTGTTATCTCGTTGCAGGGTGCTCCTGGGAAGCCTGGAGAGCCAGGAACCAAAGGCGAGAGGGTAAGTGGGGGTGTGGAGCTGTCTGAGTATGCTCAAGGTGACCTCCCTACAGTCTCAAGGGCAGAATTTATTCAGGACAGTTAATAAGCAGCGCCACTGCACTGCGGTCTCCTGCAGTGGCCTTCCATGAAACATCTCAAGCCCTGTAAGTGCCGCAGTTCTTTTATCCCAGGCTGTCACAGTTGGTTTCCTTTCTTGTTTCTTTTTGATTCTTATTTTGAGGAATAAAATCATGACCGTAATTATCAATGCAAGGCAAGTGTTGGGAGACTCTGACAGATTCCATGCTCACCATGTGTGAAGGCGCATGCAGGATGTGCCTGGCTCCCTACGTGCCAATTTGCTGGGAGCCAAATTTGTCATTGGAGGTGACAAGGGAACAGATTTTCCCATAATGAGTCGCCTTGGCGCCACACACTGAAAGCCTTTCTTTACATTTCATTTCTCCAAAACCCAACAGGGGAGAGTCATTTTTTTCCTGCAGAAGTGCTGGAGGAGGCAGGGAGCATCCTTACACTCACACTCACACTCACACTCACAGGCTCTCGCTCCGTTCAGGGCTCTGCATGACTGGTTTTCCCGCAGTCCTGTGTCTGGTCAGCTGTCAGGATGTTGTACTACATGGATGGTAGCTGCTTCCCCATCCCCGCCCGTGCTTGTTTTCCGTGGTCCTGCAAAGAATTTATGACAGCTTTCTTCACAAGTTGGATGGGTGGCGAGCTGGCAGGCATTTCCTGCAGTTTGGGAAGAGAGACATGGACGTGGTGTCTGGCATTCGTCCCTTCCCCTCGTGTCTCTCCTGCTGATGACTTTAGTTTCCCCGTCCTGAGACCGTTCGATCATGAATACTGGGACCTTGCTCTTGCCTGCCACTGAGATGATTTTCTCCTGAGAGTGTCCCTCTGGGGTCTTGAGAGTGATTGCCAGGGAGTTTGGGCATGAGTCCTGGGACAGAGCCAGGGCATTGCGCCCACAGACAGATCTTCATACGTGATCAATAGCTGGGGAGCTTGTCTGTCCTCTGTTAAGTGGTTCCATGGAACCTTGCCACCAAGCCCTTAGATTCCTCAGCCCTTCATCCTGGGAATGCTTAAAATAGGGGGCCTTATCTTTTAATTGTGAAGTGATTGTAACAGGAGGGTTATGGGATAGAAAAGATGTGTCACATGTGTGGTGGTTCCTGACATCCAGGTAACTCAGGAAAAAGGTGTTCTAGACCTGAATCCAAGATCAGACCCCATGGAGTGTATCAGACCTGGAAGACTAGAGCTCCTCCCTTGGGTTCACCTAAAGTACAATGTAAAATGTCACTGATATTTTTATTATTATTGAAAAATGAAAGCCATGCAGGGTCTGGGTTAAAGAACAGAATTTACAAGAACGAATGAATACAGTGGAGCTCAGATATCCCTCCCACCTCACCCCAGAGCTCCCCTTCCTGTCTGCCTGTCTTTCATTCTGGAGCCTGGGTACACAGGCGGGGGTGCTCCAAACATGCATGAGCCTTCACTTTTATTCCCCCGGCCCCAACACATCACAGCTTCTCCATGCCATGTTTCTGTCATCCCTTGTTTTAGCACACACAGTAATGACATTTTAGAACAATGAACATGCTCTGTTACTTCTCAGAGACTCCTGCCTTGCCTGTGGCAGCACCACATGTTTGGTTCTGCCTTGATCCTCCTTCTCTTTCCTGCCCCTCCCTTCCTGTGCTATGTCACAGTAGCTGTGGCTCCATTGTCCTCTGATGGCCTTAGTAAGGCTACTGTGTATTCAGACCTCTAGCCACTGAAGCTTGCTGGCCAGATACAGTAGAGTACAGAAGAGCAAAGACTGGGCTGCCTGCCCTGAGATTGCTGTGCCCCAAATCACTGACCCAGAACTTCAGGATCTGATTCACTGAGTGGAGAAAGGGGGCCTAGGCAATGCACTACAGAGTGAGCTTGCCAATCCTACATGGACCCGTTGGAGCTGAGGGTTGGCTGGCAAAGAGAGGCTGCTGAGCTAATAGACTGTCCCTCCTGTTGACAGAATCCAAACCCACTCCAGGAGTGGAGTGACAGCTCGGCCTCAGTTTCCATAGCTAAGCAGCCGTATCCAGGGATGCACAATTGGGGTTTGGCCTAGGACTAGGAAATTATTTTGTGTGTTTCTCTCTCTCTCTCTCTTTCTCTCTCTCTCTCTCTCTGTGTGTGTACATACACACATGTTGTGGTAGTACAGATTGAATGTAGAGCCTTGTGCGTGCCAAGGAAGTACTTCATAACTTAGTTATACCTCCCAAACTTGCTGTTTGTGACCTAACACTCTCACTAAGTTGTCCAGGCAGGCTTTGAACACACTGCAGCCTGACTGACCTTAAGCTTGCAAACCTTCCACCGTGGCCTCCTGAGTAGTTAAAATGACAGGCCTATGCCATTAAAATAATTGAAAAGTCATCCTTTTTTAAAGAACATGTAAAAGGATGGCTGTGTTTCTCCCCTTTTCTTTGTTATACCTCTGTGTGCATGCGTGTGTGCGTGGCATATGGTCCCTGTGTCATCTGCATATGTGGTGTGTGGGTGATTGTATCGGTTCATGTGTACATGTGTATGTTCTGGCCAGGGCTTGGCATTGGGTGTCTCCCTCAATCACTCTCCATTATTTGAGATAAGGTTTCTCACTGAATCCAGAGATTACCAAATTGCTAGGTTGGCTGTCTCGTCAGCCCAGGGGTCTGCCTGCCTCTGGCACCAGATGTAACAGTCACACCGGGTTTTTGAGATCCACATTCAGGTTCTCATACTTGTGCGGCAAGCTATGGAGTTATCTCCCCAGTCCCCTCCCTGTCATCCTTCCAATTAAATACCTAGGGAACGCTTCCACTATGTTTTATGTCCACGAGGAAAATTTGTGGGTATTTTTGTTCTTCTCCAGCTTTTGCACACTGCGGACACTGCTCTACAGTTTGAATTTTTCATGTAATAATGATACCTGGTGGCCTGTCCATATCATCCCTCATGAGCCGCCCCAGTGCTGACAACTATAGTGTGCTCTATAGTATGAGAATACTGGTCCTCCTGCCTGCTCCCATGGCGACTGCCCTGTTTGTGGCTTATTTGAGAGGGTGGGTTTGAAACGTTCTCCTACTGAGTTGCACACATACTGTGTAAGGTAGGAGTCAATCTCTGGGCTCCCTTGCCCTGTTTTGTACAATAGGGACTATGGATGTGCTAATTCTTGGCCCTTCTTACTTGAAGTCATCCATGGCTCACTCAGTACTGAGAACCCCCTCCTCCACGCCTGCCAGGGCCCCAGCGGAAAGATGACAGTACCTTGGATTCCCCTTGTGTGTCCAGGTCAGTTTCCAGCACATACCTGCTTGATGGTATTCTTCTCTCCTGTTTAGGGAGACCCTGGAACCAAAGGTGACAAAGGATTACCAGGAGGAAAGGGCCAGCCTGGAGACCCTGGAATCCCAGGCCACAAGGGTCATACTGGCCTGATGGGTCCCCAAGGACAACCAGGAGAGAGTGGCCCTCCTGGGCCCCCAGGGCCACCTGGTCAGCCAGGATTTCCAGGACTGCGGGTAAGGATGGTAATGAAATTTCAGACACAGATTCCATGGGAATGGTGGGGAAGCAGTGTCTGTGACCTTCAGGGCATACGGCGTGTAGAGATCAGGCTTCTGGGGTCTGGCTATATGGCAAAGGGGAAGAGTGCTCCCTCTCTCTGAGCCTGTCCTTTGAGAAAATGATCTTGAGATTTGTTAGGATGAAGGGATGTGATGCACATAACCCAGGAGGTGCTCAGAAGCAGATTCTCTTCTCTGTTGTGCCCTCTGCCCTGGGGTTGATGAGTCTCAAGGCTTCATTCCTTAGGCTGTAAATCCCATCTTCCTTGGCACCCCGAGAAGAGGTAGTGGAGAAGATGGGATCTCAGTGGTCCAAACTCCATGGTGGCTAGTTCACCATCTATTCGCTGTGGTCCTTGACTTTCTTCTCTATGCCGCCCTGGGCACTGAATATAAGCAGAGAGCCTGGTTGCTTTCCACATATGTCATTCTATTGGCAGAATTTCTGTTTCCTCCTCTTTTGGGTCACAGACACAGACTGCCCACTAGATAAGAAGAGCTGAACTCTTGATGGGGTTTATTGTCTAGTCCCTGTGACCTTTTCTTCTCCTCAGCATCAAGCTTAGTCATCTGGAGAACTTTATGTTCCCTCAGCATAGACATGGCTGCTCCCTGTCCCTGCCAGCTGTGACACTCTGTGGTTTCATCACTTGCTTCTGCCTGTGGTGACTCTTAAGAATCTTGTTGCCTAGAGCCTGCTTCTCTTGGCCAAGACCAGGGCAAATCAAAAGGACTCATTTGGCACCCAAACCCCCATGAAGCCTTGCCGAGCTCTGTGTGTCCTGTGCTGTGGGAGCAACGGAATATCTGAGCCCGTTACAAAGGTTCCTAACCAGATAAGCGTAAGAGAACAAGGGAAAGAAACATTCCATGCAACTTATTGGACTGATGGAAGCACAAGGGCCCCAAATCTCTAGGATAGCACTACTCTACATGACTCACACAGGAAAGTGAGCCTCATAGGGCATAGAGAATTCTTTCCTAGGCCCTTCTGAGAATTGTTGCCACACTGTGAGCATTCAGCCTTTCTTGTAGATAAATTCCTCAGCTTCCATGGATCACTCATTTGCATGTGGTCTGTATGGACATGACAGATCTGGCCCTGGGGAGTATATGGCCAAGACACCAACCAGGAGACTGACACACAAGCTCGCATAGCAGGCAGTGCATAAGCTATGTTCTGGAGCTGGGCAAGCCATCTTGCCCACAACCAGTGCGGGGCTGGCTTTATGGGCATAATGGTTTGTACTAGGAGGAAATAAACTGAAGAATAAATAAAGGTCTTGAGGGAGAGACATTATGGATCAGAGAGTCTCGGGAGCACACTGCTATGCGGATGGAATGGCATGATCTGAATGGCAGAGAGGAAAGGAATGGGCTGCAGATTCCTAATGGGCTAGACAGAGGGTATGGTTGCCCATATCTGTGCTACTCACCGGCTTCTTGATTTTGGGGGTTACGCTGGGGGTCTCTGATGAGAGTTACTGGGGAAACAAATAACTCTCCTTCCTTCCTGTGTTAGGGTTCTAGTGCTGTGAAGAAGAGATGCCATTACCAGGACAACTCTTAGGAAGGAAAACATTTGATTGGGGGTAATTTATCGTTCAGAGATTTAATCCATTTTCACCATGGCAGAAAGCATGGTGGCCCACAGGCTTATATAGTGCTAGAGAGGTAGATAAGAGTTCCACATCTGGATCATCAGGAAGCAGGAAGGGCAAGTGAGCCACTGGGCCTGGCTTGAGCTTCAGAGCTCTCAAAACTCACTCATCCTCCCCAGTGACACATTTCCTCCAATAAGGTCACACTGACCCCAAGGCCACACCTACTAATAGTTTCACTTCCTATGGGCCTATGGGGACCATTTTCATCCAAACACCTCCATCCTAGGGCGAGTCTCCATCCATTGACACCCTGCGGCGCCTGATTCAGGAAGAGCTTGGAAAGCAGCTAGAAGGTAAGTAGCTGGACTCCATTGCATCATTGAGAGTAGGATCCCTGCCTCCATCATTGAGTGCCAGGACAGCACCCCCGGGACAGGCTAATGTGGAGCAGCGGGCTTGAGTGGTACCTTGAAGGCCCCGCCTTATTTAAACTGAGGCCTTATCCTCCAGAGCCTCCCTCAATAAGTTGGGTCTGCAACTTCTGCCTTTTCACCTCTAATGAAGATGACACCTAGTGAATGGTGACAGCAGATGTCACCATCTTCTCTGTGATGATCATCTTCCACTTTCTGTGGATTCAACCATGTATCTGGTTAATCACAATGGTGGGAAGGCTTGCAGTTGGCCTCCCTGCACTCCAGGGGAAGAGATAAGTCAGGAGACAGACAAGCTGGCTGCAGTCCCTCAGAAGACTTCTGTAATTACCTCAGGCACAGAGGGCATTGACAAAGGGCAGTGGCTCTGCCTCACATCACTCTGAGGTGGGGAATGGGGTGGGATGGTCACATGGGGCAGCAGTAACAGCAGTGCAGGTGTTCCTGTCTCTGGAGGGTTCTCAGGGCTTGAACATGTGACCCCTGGCAGCTTAGCAATGGCCATGTGAGACAGCATGGTTTTTGGGAGGGTGATGAAGAGCAAGGAGCCTGAGCTATTGGTCTATAAGGCTGGGATTCACAACCTCGGTATCTGCACTATCCTACCAGGGTCTATTTAGTTCCCATTTCCCCTATGATAACAGCTTAGAAGATTCTCACAGTAACCCCATTGCATGAAAGAAAAGGAATCCCTGCTTCCATGGACAAGCACACCAGAAGGTTCTTCCATACACAGGGCCATGCCTCAGTCATTGTGTGTCTCAATTATTCAGAATGCCCTATATATGAGTGTATGGACAGAAAGTATCTCTCCCATGCCCTTCTGGAGTCTAACTGAACATGGATGGTCTGTGCATGAGGGAGGTCAGGGAAAGGCAGGAGACAGACTGAAGAGAAGGTAAGTCCCATAGGGCAGGACAAGTCTGAGGACTGACCGTTAGGGTTCCACATTCTACCTCTTGAATGTTAGACTCATTAGTGATAGAAAGACCTTTGCCCTAGTGCAGGGCCAGCCCCTGGTTTTAAATGGATCTGGGAACATCTGCTGGGGCGAGTTCCTCCTTCCAAACAGTCTTTGAGGAGGACACAGCGAATTCTACTAGAGATAAGAAAATCAAGACTCAGAAAAGTTCGGCAAATGGCCATGGTCACTAGGTTGACTCCACAGAGCCCTGGCGCCTTGTGAAGATGCAGTGGCAGAGAGAGTCAATGAGACAGTGAGAAATCCCACCTCTTTCTTAGTCTTAAACAACCAAACTGTTAGTCCTTATCCTGGACACTCCATCCGTTGGACAGGCATTTGGATCCAGCTCTCTCTGACTATACAAACTTAGGTGGTTTTTGGTAGTTGCTAGGTAATTACTGAGTTCCTGGTCCATCAGGAAAGTGAGTCCACCCAGTAGGAGCTCTGAGTTTTAAATGGATTCTGTGTTGCTTGCATCACAGATGTGTAAACATCTCTAATTAACAGCTCATTTATCACTTCAGTTGTAGATAGAGAGAAACCTGATATCCAAATGTTTAAAGTCAATAAATAGCTTTTTGTACAAGCCACTTCAACATCCCATGCCTCAGTTTCCCCAAGTGACAGTCACGGTAACTGTTACTACTGCTACCATCATCACAAGCTCCAACAATGCTGCTACTGCCAGGACCAATGCTACTGCCTCGTTAATACTGCTATTCTTTATCCCTACTGTTGCTGATGCTGCAGTGGTCCACATAGAGGTGTGTGTGCAAGGGCTGTCTCTTGTCTGTACTCCTAGTTGGTTTTGTTCCTTATTTCCAGCTTGTAGTGAGCTGCCACCCTGTCCCTCATCCTCAATCCATTCTTCACAAATGTCTCTGGTTTTCCTGGTCCATAGCCAAACTTGCCTACCTCCTGGCCCAGATGCCTCCTGCACACATGAAATCCTCTCAAGGCAGACCTGGTCCCCCAGGACCTCCAGGAAAAGATGGGCTCCCAGGCCGGGCAGGCCCCATAGGTGAACCAGGCCGACCTGGCCAGGGTGGTCTGGAAGGACCCTCCGGACCAATGGGCCCCAAAGGTGAGTGGGGCGCATTTCAGAAATTGAAGGCTGAGCGGGGACTTGAATGAGGGGTGCACATCCGGCAAAGCCTGCATTATTCAATCTTGTTTTCATGCCCATCAGTTCAGCAACACTGAATTTTGGCATCATGTAATTTTTTCATACATTGAAGATTTTCATACTTGACAGTTTTGAGAAATTATGCCAGGAAGATTGAAGCTGTTTTCTCCTACTTTCTTGCGTTCTCTCTATCTTCCTCGCTCAAGTTACAGGGGTGATGTAAATGCGTTCTTCTCCCCTCACCCAGTTTGGAACTGACAGAGTGATGTGACGTTTAATCTCCAGGCAATGGATATTAAATATCAGCTTTAAAATCCAACCAAATGACTTTGCGCTACATCTTAACTGGGTGCTGACTGTCTAACTCTCTGGCTGGGTAACCTATCTGAACCCTGGAGCTCTGCACAAAAGGAAGCTCTCCTTCAAGTAGAAGAGCCTGTCCCAGATTTACAATGGCAAGAAGGCCAGAATGCTTTTCTTGCAGGCGAGCAGACATGAAGAACAGAAAGGAAGAACTAGACTCCAAACTTCCCAGCCTGGGATCCACTCCCTCTGATGAGCGAACTTAAGGGTTCCTTTTAGTGACCTTAGGCTAAGGAAATGAATGATCCTAGCATCTTTTCTTTTGATTTCTCATATCTTTGTGATTGTTTAGTCATCCATCCCCTGTGATATTTCTTCTGTTTAATAGTTAGTGTTTTTGTTAAATTTCTGTGCTCTTGACTATTGGTATTAGTTCATCAAGCAAATTACACAAAATAAATATCTGTAGGAAGCATAATTTATAGACTACACTTGTTTGTAGCAGAATCCTGATAGATAACAGTTAAAACTGAAGATGAGGAGCTGGACAGTTGGCTTTGTGGTTAAGAACTTTTGGTGCTCTTGGAGAGGACATGGGTTCAGTTCCCAATGCCAACATGGCTGCTCACAACTGAAGTTCTGGGGTACACAGTGCTCTCTTCTGCCCTTCATGTGTGCCTTACTAGGCACACATGTGGTATATAATAAATTCTTTAATTTATCTGCCTAATTCCTTCTTCATGAAGGTTCAGATGAGAAGCTTCGAGTATACTGTCAAGGACGCCAATAATGGGGGCACATATGCACACTGTCATATGTGTGACTGAGGGCACTGATAATAAGGGCACATATGTAGGTTGATATGTGTATGTGTATGAGTGAGGACACTGATAATGAGGGCACACGTGTAGGCTAATATGTGAGGACACTAATAAGGGCACACATCTAGGCTGATATGTGTGTGCGTGAAGACACAGGTAATGAGGGCAGACATCCAGGCTATATGTGTGTGGCTATATGTGTGTGCATGAGTTGTGAGTGTGTGAATTTGATTGCCTGTGGCTTAGTGAATATGTGCTTTGTATTTACTTCTGTGTGTGTATGAATGTGTAAATATGTATGTATCTGGATGGATGCAGGTGTTTGAATGAATGTGTATGCAGAAAAAAGTACATCAGAAGTGTGTTCAGGAGAAATAATCTATTTCTTTCAGGATTTACATATACATGTTTTGAGTCTGAAAAAAATATTCTTGCGTGTGTGTGTGTGTGTGTGTGTGTGTGTGTATGCGTGCACACGTACATGAGAACTGGGGTATTTTACAGGAGTGTGTGTGAACAGGATAATGTATGTTTCAGTGATCTTGGGCTGCATCTGTGTTCTGTGGGTTGGGATTTCCAATCTCTGCTCTCATTAGTCTGTAGCACTCAAGGTGTGTTTTCTTCCCATCAGGTGAAAGAGGAGTCAAAGGTGACCCTGGCACACCTGGAGTTGGCCTCCGAGGAGAAATGGGTCCCCCTGGAATACCAGGTATAAAAGTTCAGTATCTCAGACTGGGTGGACATCAACTATAGAGGCAGAGCACAGGGCAGTACTCCTTCTTGTGGGAAGAGGAGGGGCTGGGCCACTGTAAGGAGAAACAGAACACTCATTGTTTACTGAAATATTTCTCAAGTCCTTGAGGAATACCTCCTAAGTCAAAAGTCTCAGTCACTTATTTACTGTTTAATAATAACCAGAAGAAAGGATATTAGTGTTTCCAACAGAAAGATATGATAAATATTTGTTCATTACATGTTGTACCCATGTCCTGAAAAGAAATCACATTGTGGGGCTGAATATTTGGCTCAGAGATTAGGATCACTGTCTGCTCTTGCAGAAGATTTGATTTCGGGTTTGATTTCCAGCACTCACACGGTACCTCACAATATCTGTGACACTTGTTCTAGGGGATTTAATGCTTTTTTCTGGTATCCACCAGGACTGCAAGCACATGGTACACATACATGAATGCAAGAAAAACAGAACATACATAAAATAAACATTCACTACAAAGCAAATCATTTCCCAGAAATATACAAAATTATTATGTTCCAATTAAAAATAATAAATGACCAAATATCACAAGAAATGGTCCTAGGGGAGAGAGGGATTAGCATATGCTAAATGAGACTAGGCATGTTGGAGATACATCTCTATTTAGGACTTTCCTTCTACATTTTTAACTCTCCTTAAGTGGTAAGAACTCCACAGGCAAGGTGACATTCATCTTCTGAAGACCCCACACTCATTCATTCCCAATTAGTCTTTCTCAGAATCTACCCAGGGAACCTTAGCCAAAGGTTCAACCAAACTAAGCTCTCCTGAAGGTGAGGGGTTGTGAGGTCTTGGGACTTTCACTTCTGAAAGCTAAAAACTGGGAAAAATGGCAACCAGTTGACACTGCCTGATGTCCACACTGGAAGAGCTTCTGAGGACAGCGGTTATCACACTGGAAAGGAGGTGTGAGTGTAGAAGACCCTCAACTCTAGGTTGTCACATTCTACCTCACAAACAGCCATGGGAATGTGTCTGTATGTTTTTAAGTATATGTAGGCATCTATGTATGCATGTATGTGTGAATATGTGTTTGGGGAGGCAGTGCTAGAAACTGAACCGAGGCCTCATGCATGTTCTACCACCACCACCACCACTCCCCGCCAGCCCTGAGGATTCTACTGTTTAAATTTAACACTGTCACACTTACTCTGGTTCATCTTTGAACATTTGACCAACTATAACTTAACTTTAGATTTTTTTTCTTCCATGGTTTTCCACATTTGCTACAATTGGATACCTGTTCTTATTTTTATTAGAGTTGATTTGGCATAAATATTGTTTATATATTGCTGCCTTTCAAATAGAATATAATAGAAATGCTATCCTGAAATAGGAGAACTTGTAGAAAGGCAGAGTGAGAACCATCTGGAAGAGGACGCGTATAGAATACCTGGCAGGTTACCCCAGCGTGAGGTCGAGTCAGGGGCCATTGTCAGTGCATCTCAGCGGGAGGCATGGCAAGCACAGCCGCAACAAGGACTTCTGGGAAGCCAGGCTGTGCATTAAATAGCGGTTGCCAGAGCATCGGCAGAGTTGCTGAATGCTAAAGACACTCACAATGGAAAGGTTCACTTTTTGTCTACTTTACAAAAAATAATTTGACAGAGTGCTAAGAAGCGAAGGAAAATGTAGCATACCCAAGCGCAGGGCCCTACTTTCTCTTCTGACTTGAGTGGAAAGTTTACACCCAATGGACTGCACTCACCCATTTCTGATTCTCCTTCATGGTGTCTGGATTCCTTCCCTAGCTCAGACAGGGAAGGGAATACCCCGCTGCTTGCCAAGGCGGTGCCCTGCCTGATGCTCACATGCACCATCCTCTTCCTCAGTCTAGAGCACCGGGCAGAGGCCATTCTCTCTGAGTGCAAGTTGAATCCTATTTCAAATCATTTCAAAAGATGACAGAGATCTTTAGCTCCTGGATATGAACCTGCTTCTGAATGTGAAATGCCTTCTTTTCTTTTTCTTTCTGGATCAGGTCAACCTGGGGAACCTGGCTATGCGAAAGATGGACTCCCAGGAAGCCCTGGTCCTCAAGGAGAGACAGGACCAGCTGGACATCCTGGCCCTCCAGGCCCTCCTGGCCCTCCTGGCCAGTGTGACCCCTCCCAGTGTGCGTACTTCGCCAGCCTTGCTGCCCGGCCAAGTAATGTGAAGGGCCCATAGAAGATTCTAAAACATCAAAACACTACTATGGATTTCTGAAACTTGAACTCAGAGCTCAGTGGGAAGCCAGAAGCCTTGAAATATTTCAGATCCTTTTTTTCTCTCCTCACCTTCTCTTTGTCTTTTTTTTTCCTGTTCCCCTCTCTCCTACTCTTGCCTCCTTGCCTTCCTACCCTCAATTCCATCTTCCTTTCCTCAGAGACCTCACAGTTATTAAAACCAACAGATGCTGTCAGTTAGATTATTAATATTTTTATTGTTTGTTATTTCAAATGTTAATGCTTCTGGGGGAGCTACCTCGTAGACAGGAAGTGGTCTCCTGGCTCAGCTCCCCTGCCAACACCAACTGAAGTGTGGCAGCCAATTCTGAGGAACCCGCGGTGCTATGCAGCCCTGACCACACCCTTGCTGAATTTACCTCTTTCCTGGAAAGGAAACTAAGGGACGGAACCCATGAGCTTCTTTTCTCAGCTGTGCCTAGAGATGGCCCAGGGAAAAATAAGTTGGGAATCCTTGTCTCCCAGGAGAAACAAGAAGCAGAATGAGGAAGAGTTTGCAGCCTGGAAGAAGGCCTTGACCTCTGGACTCAAGGTGCATACCTGGAGTTCAGAACTACCCTGGGCGTGGGCTTCCTTGGTGCTTCAAGCTACTGGAACCAAAAGGAGTCACACAGAGGGTTGTCCATGGCTTGTGTCTAGGCCCTCAGTGGACAAGCTGGTGCTGAAGAAGAGTTCTGGAGTCTGAATTTGCTTCTTAGACATGGCCTGGATCCCTTCAAGTTCCTCATGCTGGTTTCACTTGTGTGAATTTCAAAATAAAGGTTTCCAGTGGTCACTTGCCTATCTTACTTGTGGTGGTTCTTTACTGCGTACTTTATCAGTCACATCTGTGTATGAGTGTGTGTGTGTGTGTGTGCGCGCGCGTGTGCGCGCGTGCACTTAACTCTGATCTTTTGGTCTAGAATTCCTCCAAAGCTCTCTCAGGTTTTATGTGGATATAGTTGCCTCACGTTGGTGTGCCATTTGTAAATGGAGACTGCTCCCTTGTTTCCCATCCTCTCTGACCCAAATAATCTCACAGAAACTATATTAATTACAACACTGCTTGGTCAATAGCTTAAGCTTCTTATTAACTAACTTACATCTTACATTAACCCGTTTCTATTAGTGCATGTATTGCCACGAGACTCAAGGTGTACTGGTAAGGTTCTCTGGTGTCTGTCCCCTTTGGAGCTACATGGCATCTCTTTGACTGTGCTTACTTTATATATGTCTGTTCTGATTTCCCACCTGACTTTATTCTGCTCTGCTATAAGCCCAAAGCAGCTTCTTTATTAACCAATGGTAATAAAACATATTTACAGCATACAGAGGGAATCCCACATCAACTTAGCAGTTCCTGATGACAGAGAGAAGCAAGCATCTTTGTCCATTTTTACTTTTTATGTGTACGTTTTCTTTGGTAAGGTGTCGGTTGAGAGATTTTTGTCATTTGTTTAAATCTTGTTAATTTGGGGTTTTATTGTATATAGTAGCTCATGGCTATTTCTCAGAAGCCTGACCATCCTTGGTTCATGGATTGCTGCAGAGCCTGGTGTCCTTGTCCCATCCCAGAGAAATCATTGTTGAGAAAACAAAACCAAATGTGTCACATTAAAAGTACAAAGGGTGGTCCTTCATCATGAGACTGAGGTTTCTCTGGTTTTTGAAGTTTAAAATGACTCATCCTGGAACATACACAAGTCAGGTGCCCAGCAGCCAGGAAATAGTTTCCTTCTCCCCAGTTATTGATGTAACCTTCAGGAGCATCTGCATGCCCAGGGTCCATAATCTGCCGCCTCAGGCTGGGGGCTCTGGGGCTCTCCACCATCATTCTTTAAAAGAGTATCAGAGATCCCTTGCTTTTATTCAGAGGGCTTGGCAAATGTGCTTCTCAGAAATGTCACACAGGTAAAAAAGATGTCCAATCCAACAAGGTGTACTTCTGGCTGCTCTATGAAGTGGCCAGAGTTGCCACTTCATGGCTATTTTTGTTTCCTTGCTTTCTCTCTAACACATTGTGAAGATCCATATTGGGGGCCTCCCATCAACAGTATTCTGTAGCACAATGTACACCTTAATGTGTCAAGTTATAGATGGTGAGCTAGTAAAGCCATTTAAAGCCCCAGACCCAGCTGAGATGTGTGAGGGGAGGACTAAGGCTGTCTTCAAGGTAGTGGCCTGAATAGGTGTAGGGAAACCAAGTGATGCCTCAACAACCATATCCAGACCTGTTCTCCATTGTTGCATGCAGACATGTTCAAGGTGTTCTCGGTGACTGATTGGGTCACTCTCTTCAAATCTCATAGCTTTGAGGTTGGAGAAAGAGAGACTGACAAGGAAGACAAACAGTTCTGATGGCTGTGCTGGAAAAGAAGGCCTTGGACAACTTGACCTTTGACAAGCAAGTACCCTTTGCTTAATGGACAAGCAGTTGTCATGGAGATACCTCTCGGCTTGACTGGCCTGCTTTCGCCTTGGCTTTCTGCTGTAATGCTCTTTGTAGTCACACAAGAATGGAGTTGCTGGCAGGAAGGGCTCTGCTGGCTGCCAAGCAGTGCCTCTGCTCTGAAGGTCCTAGTATGTGGGATGCAGAAACCATGGGTATCCTTTAAGTCCTACAAACATGGTCCCTGGTGCCAAGATACTAAAGAGAACAAGTTACAGGCCCATTCTGAAGGAACCCAAAGTCTGATAAGATTTGTGCGTTTGTAACTTCAAAGGAAAGTGTTCCTAAACAGCACACAGTGGGACAGGTATACAAACAATATCTCATAATTTGATTAGTTGCACAAATGATAAGATCTACAAATATAACAGAATTCTTGACAGGAAAAGTATAGATGTCACCTGACAGTTGTACCTATTTTGCGCCCATATTTTTGTCTCACAATTGAAAGGGGGTGGGTATTTCTAGCTTTGTTTTTGGTAACTAACAATATAAAAAAAATCAGAGAGATGCATTGCTCTAGCCACACAGCAGTTGATAGTCAAGCCCTGAATACCCTTTGGACTCTCAGGAGGTCAAGTTCTTCTGTCTGATTGTTTCAGTACAACAGCTGTGCTGAGTTTGAAACTGATACAGTTTTAATTATTCAGTAAAGAGTTGGCCCCTCCATTTGATGAACAGCCACACTGAAGCTGTCTAGTTCCAATAATGTTTCCAGGCAGCAACGGTGACCTGATTTTTGATTGGAACCCATAGAAGGAAATCATTTCGGGGTGTGTGGAAGCCCTACAGAATGTGACACGGCCCTCCTAATCGTAGATGGGGTGCTGAATCTCACAGATAGAAGGGCAGCCCACAGCCACACTCAGCTCTGCATCTGCTGGAGCAGAGAAGGCACTGAGGGGAGCCTAGGGGTGAGCCAGCAGTCTGGATATGGTCCATAAGGACCTGTGGTGCTCCACCTGCAGAAGATGCTGCCAGGCTTGGCTGCTGGAGTAGACAGCAGAGAGAAGAGTCAGAGAAGGGATGGAAGAGCTTTCAGCTCACATCCACAGAGGCTCTTTAATAGGAAGAGCACAGCCACAGAGGACATGATGCCTTTGTTGCGGGGGGGGGGGATCCTTTAGAGGACAACAGGTGCTATCAGGGGCTAGGGAACACTGAGGATAGAAACTATCTGGAGATAATGCCATACCCCTGGAAGTTGTGTTCAGAAATGAGATAATACAGGAACACATCGCAGGATACCAGATACTTATCAAGATAAGCACAGATGAATCAGGTCCCAGGTTGGTCAGGGCTGAGTAGGATGTGAATAGGAGACAGGAGGTTATTATGAGTCGTCTTCAAAATGGTGGATGGGAACAAAGACACTGAACAGACTTTATTTCATGTGCCGCTGCTGTCAATTGCTCGGAGGCAGCTAAGTAAGCCACCTTCATGGGAAAAGTGAACCGTACAATAATGGCGAGAGGTCAAGCAACCTATGCCAGGCCTAGCAGCAGATGTGTAGTGTAGCATGATCAAGACAGAGCCTATGAGCATCCTTTCTCTTTTGCTCAGGACTGCAGCACTCCAAGTCCTGCTTCATTAGAGCTCAAGGGCAGGTGATAATGTGATGAAGGTCTGGAGATACTGCCATCTGACAAGCCACGTCAACCTTTGCAAGGTCAGAGGCTCAGCTCTTCCCGGGGTTCCAGGTGGATTGACTTGTTGAAGTAAGTAAGGCATTGGAGGACACACGAAGTGGCATCGTGGTATAGATTAGCGAGGCCCAAGTCCCCTGGGATTAGGGTTCTCTTGACCATGTCTTCTTGGGAGTTTAGAGGAAAGTCAAGGCTAGTGGTGAGAGCCAGGGGCATCCATGGTCCAGGCAAAGGTAAGAGAAGCATATTCAAAGCCTGAGATGACACAGAGGTTCAGTCTGCTCTGACCCAAAGAGATCATGAACTTCTGTAAGGTATTAATGATGACTTCACCAGGGGAAGATACCTAGGCTCCAGGGCAGCTGAGAGCTGCTCAGTAACAGGAACAGCCAAGGCTCACAAGGGGGATGTGAATTGCCTGAGGGAAATAGCAAAAGAGTTGCTGTGGAGAACCTGTCTTGCTGTCCTCTACAGGAGTCACCTTGGCCCCTTTACAATTCAGCCCCTTTTTTAGTTAATTTGCCTCTGTTTTAAGTAGTAGTATTACATTGCCTGCCTAGTTTTTAGGGCCAGCACAAGGTAATGTAGGATCCCCGGTGAGAAGGAACTCTGAGGATGTGAGAGGTCTCCTTAATGGCCTTAATTGATGTGGGAGGGCTAGTCTACTGTGAAGGGTACCATTCCTTGGGCTTGGAGGTCTTGAATTTTATGAGGGGGTGGGTAAAGCCTTAAAAGGACTAAGGTACACAAAGTAACTCTTTGCTGTCCACTCTTGACTAATGTGTCTGGTTGCTTCGGATTCCTGCTGCCTTGACTTCCCTATAACAATGTCCTGTACCCTTGATTACTGACAGAAATAAATCCTTTCTCTGTCAGTTGCTTTGGTCAGGGTGTTTTACCACAGCAGCAGGGAACACAGCTGAGGCAAATATCTGTGAATTCTGAACATCTGTTGAATATGCTGATCGTTTTCCCCATCACAGATTGAAATGAAAGCGTAATTACTAAGAGGAACTGTGTTCTCTGCTCAGTCAGGGCCTGAGGGCACCTTTCGGCTAGCATCCCTGGATAGAACATGCATGTGTGCTGATGGGCGTCAGAGGGAAACTGACCAGCAGCAGAAGCCACCAGCAAAGTCATATGACCTCATTGCCTATAAATGGAGTGGCGATCATGGTCCCTGAGGTTTTCAGTGAGGCTGGTAGGGAGCTAATAATATGAAAGACAGCAATGTATATCAAGACAGGATCAAGAAGGATGCTGTGTCAAGCCTTTTTTTTTTTTATTTTGCCTGGAGCAGAGGAATACGTTAAAAACATCGATTCTGTCTTTATTTTGAGTGGAATAATTTATTCTCTGTGGATTTTTCTGCATTGATTCAGAATAAGAAAACCTTCCATCTATTATTTATTCATTTAATATTATTCCTAGCATGTTTTTGAAGGATCGGTCGCACACCTATTATTGGACCTCACTCCTAGTAAATGCCACTATGGGGTGAGCTGTCTAGGATCAGAAGGCAGCACATGTAGCCAAAAAACCAAACCGTCGCCCTGGCTTGGCTGGGTTAACAGATACGTTTACCTGACAAGCTGGCCAGACTATCATAGTAGAGAAATAAACCAGGGGATGAGACAAAGTTCAGAGTGCTCTGGCACTGTGTCTGCCCCCAGACTAGAGCACAGACGGAACGCTGAGGCC